AGATCTCAACAAACTCTCAGAGATTTGATGGCTCGGGAAGAGAGGAGATGTAAGAGCTGTCATAGCAGCCTTCAAATCATTGCGTGTCTCACATGAAGGAAGACGTAGATGGCAAGGGGGTGGGCCGCAAAACGCGCGGAAGCTCTGTCCCAAGGCGCTGTGGGTTCCGAGGAGAGGGCTCCAGCGTGGCCCGGGTGCGGTGAGGCTTCACTGAGCGCGGTGTCCTCCGGCCATCCGGTGGATCCTGTCTGAATCTTCTTCTCTGTCTGTTTGCCCTCTGGGCTGGTGTTGGGGTTTTGAACTCAGGCCTTGTGCTTGCTAGGCAGGTGCTTTCCCGCCCGGGCCACGCCCCCATCTCTTATTACTTTGAGTGCTTTTTGAGAGGACTCGTGTGTATGCCTAGGCCTCTCCTGGTTACATTTCTGGAGTGTCGGGTACGCGGCCCCACACCCAGCTTTGTATTGGTCACCCACTAGGTTTCACCCGTTGAGGTCCACACAGACTTTTCACAGCCCTGGCCTCAAGCAGCCATCCTCCCAGTCTCCTCCTGTGTAGATAGGATTAAAGCCATGCACTACCACACCCAGCTGCCTTCCTTCTTAGAGACTGAGTAGTAGTACACTATGGCATATGCTTCTGTGTGTGTGTGTGTGTGTGTGTGTGTGTGTGTGTTACCAGAATTGTAGGACAAGCCCAGCCCTACAAAGGTCCCAGCAGACCAGGCCTGGCCATTTATCTCCAAAAATAAATGCAAGTTCCTACATCACTATTACCTTTTCTGTTGTTGGCAGATAACAAATGAACACAGAGATGCCAAATCTGTATTCATTTAGTTTTGTTTACCTATTGGGCGCAAGGGGGAGGCCAGTGCTTTTTATAAAGACAGTCTCCAAGTTTATGCGTGTACTTACCCACCTGTCCATTGGTGAGCAGCTGAGTTTTTCCCACTTTTTGGCTGTGATGAATGATGCTGTTATGAACATAAGAGTGAAAATGTCTCTGGTGTCCTGCCTTCAGTTTTCAGGACACATAGCCAGAGATATTGCTTGCTCATATGGCAATTCTGATCATGTTGGGGGCGGGGGGAATGTGGGTGCCAGGGTTCCCCTTCCTCCAGTTCCTTACCCACACTTGCTGTCTTTTGTTACGTTTTATAGCTGCCATCCTAATGAGCGTTAGATGTCAGCTCATGTGGTTTTGATTTGCATTTCCATTGAGCATTGGCATTGAACATCTTTTATGTGCTTGTTGGCCATGTGTATGGCTTGTTTGAAATAAGTGCAGTTAGGTCATTTCCCCATTTAATCTGGCTGGACATCTTTCTTGTTGAGCTTTGAGTTTTTCCTCTGGCCTTGAATGCTGACTTCTCGTCAGATGCATGGCTTCCGTCGGTTATTTGCCTTCTCACTCCCTTGATTGGAGTAAGCACAGCAGTCTGGAGAGAGTGCTCTGATGCAGGGAAGGCAGGAGCAGTAGGCACAGCTTCTGGAAAAAGGAGTCCCGTGTGACTGTTGAGATTGTTCCAGACTCACAGACCAGGACAAAGATGGAAGTAACTGGAGAAGAAGACTTAAGAACCCCTCACCTGGGGCTGGGAAGGTGCTCAGTGGTAGAGCGCTTGCCTTGTGTGCCTGAGGCCCTGGGTTTGATTCCTCAGCAACACATAAGCAGAAAAAAAAGCCGCAAGTGGCACTGTGGCTCAAGTGGTAGAGCGCTAGCCTTGAGCTGAAGAGCTGAGGGACAGCGCCCAGGCCCAGAGTTCAGGCCCCATGACCTGCCCCCCCCCTCCCGCCCCCCTGAACCTCACCAGTTCAGCCCAGAGCTGGCCTCAAGCGGGGAGGTTAGGAAGACAGAGCAAGGGACCAAGGAGTGCTCAGACTCTCCCGTGATAGTCTCCACATGAAGTGGCTGAACTTCTGCTAACTTTATTTGTCGGAAATAGAATCAGTGTGGAACAGTTCTGCTTTGTGCCGTGTTGGGTAAAGCCTTCTTGTTTTACTGATGAATTTCGAGTTTGTCGAGTGTGATGGAATGCCCCTGGAGAGTTGAATGGCCATCTGCTCTACATGTAGGGGCTGAAGAATGGGTTGCGGGAGCCAGGCTGGGGTCGGGCAGGACCTGGAAGATGTGTTCGGAGGCTTTTGTAGAGGCAGAGGCAGGAAATGAAGCGGAGCGCACACGGGCAGGCCGGGCCGCTGCCCTGCTGGGAAGAACGGTTAGTGTGACGCGGCACTGACAAGCCAGGAGGTCGCTCCCAGGTCTAGGAGACAGCAACGCCAGGCTGCGCTGAGCAGGGTAACCCACAAGATTAAGAGGTCGTTTTAGAATTTTAAAATTTGAGCTATCTTTGGGATACCCCCAGGTGCGAACCCGAAGCTCAGAAGAAAGCCCTGGAGGTGGGATTAGAAGGTGAGCAGTCACAGCCGCCTGCCTCCAGGTGGCCCTCTTGGACAGGATTTAAGACTGCCCACCCTTGGCTGAGCCCTGGGGACTGGAGCCAGCCAGCGAGCCAGTCGTGGGCATGCGGACTTTCTCAGACCTTCCAGTGCCCGCGGTCACCCGTAAAGGCCCACAGAAGAGCCCTGTGCCACAGCCAGGCCCAGGGGTGGTCTGCCTCCTCTGGGAGGCTGATCGCATTGGCTCACCTCTTGGATGCTGGATGCTGGTGGCTCACGCCTGTAATCCTGGTCACTCAGAAGGCTGAGATCTAGCCAGCCCACACAAAAAGCTAGACAGGAGGTGTGGCTCAAGTGGTAGAGCGCCAGCAAGCAAACCACATGAACACAAAGCCCTGAACTCAAAGCCTGATGTGCCTCCCTCCCCCCAAAAAAGAACAAAAAGTAAGTGTCTGTTATTCGGGGCCTTCAGCAGAAACGGACAGTGCTGCCCTAAGACTGCGGCTCCGTCAGCCCGAGCCTTTCTCCTCTCTTGCCTTTGCCGTGTGTCCTTTTCAAAAGTGTACAGCTAGGAAAGTGGTTGTGCGTTTATTACACCAAACACTGGAGGGGAGGCTAATAAAGAGTGGGAAAAGGAAGAGCGGGAGAGGGAGGGAAACACCAACTCCTTCAGATTAGAACTAATGAATAGCTTCTTAATATTGAATAAATATTACTGTGCTAATAGTATCTTTTAAAGTATTAGAAGTGCTGATCAAATTTTAATGAAGTATTTAAAATTTATAATTTGTAGAATAAAGATACACCAGAAGAGAGAAATCAGGCATAAAAAAGCTAGGTATTATATTAAATATATAAATGGTTTTCATTTAAACTAGTAAAACCTAATGGTATAATGGTTATAGGGGGACTACCTAACATAAAAGAGTAAAAGACAAAAATTAGCCAAATTGAAAACACCTATTTCTCAGACTAGAATAAAACGAAAAGAGAGAAACCGGCATTTATACCACGTCATGTTTTTTTCATATCAGACATAAAAGATGCATGTAAATTGGCCTGTGTCTTATAAGTTAAATACATAAGTATAGAAATGTAGTATCTCTTTTTTTTCTTTTCTTTTTCTTTCTTTGTTGTTGTTTTTGGTGGTCGTCGTGGGGCTTGAACTCTGGGCCTGGGCGCTGTCCCTGCACTCTTCAGCTGAAGGCTAACACTCTGTCACTTGAGCCTCAGCACCATGTCTCATGGACTTGCCTGTCTGAGCTAGCTTTGAACTGCGATCCTCAGATCTCAGCCTCCTGAGTAGCTAGGATGACAGGCGTGAGCCAACGGCACCTAGCATGAAATGTAGGTTCTTATAGTTTATTTTCTTATTTTTATAACTAAACACTCACTTTGTGTCTCTGAAAGATGAGACGTTCGTAACTATAAACACTCACTTTGTGTCTCTGAAAGATGAGACGTTCGTTCGGCCATTAGAGTGGTTGTGAAGGGAAATTGCATGTCTATAAACAATGCTATGTGGTTCCCTCCTTGCTAACCGGGAGCTGGGAAAGAGGAGCGACCGGAGGGCAGATGGACCAGCGTCTTCCTCCCCCTACCCTCCCTTCTCCACGCCTCCTTCTCTCCCTCCCCGCCCCCCCCCCCACTCCCACCTCTTTCTCTCAGTACTCTTGCAATACTGGAGAGCTAGGCTCTATGCTGACTAGTTCTGTACCACTTGATTCATGGCCCTGGTCCTGTTTCCTTGACTTTGTTTCTCCCATAGTCTTGGGCTCAATTTGCACCAGCTGTCCTCAAACCATGACCTTTCTCTCTACCTCCTGAGAGGCTGGGGTGACAGCTGTGTGCTGTCATGCCCAGCAAAAACATTTCTTGAAACATTCTCAGCAAGTGTGTGCGTGCGTGTGTGTATGTGTGTGTGTGTGTGTGCACGCGTGTGTGTGTATTCTAAGGAGTTTAGTCCTTACTCTCCTGGAGGCTCTCAGCCCAGGTGTGTATAAGAACTGGTAGATCTGGGGAAGGGCTGGCATTTCTTTTAAGAGATACAGAAATTACTTGGGTATACAGCTAGGAATGCTGTAAGCAGTGAACAGTCAGGGCAAATCTGTAGTAGAAGAGTCAAAAGTACATTTCAAAGCTAATTCCAGCTGGGACAAGGAGAGAGGCAGCATTCAGGCTGAGCCCGGAGGTGACGCCCTTGGCCACCACGTGGTACTTCGTACGTTAGTGTCTATAATTCTCCCTCTTAGCAACATGTCTCGGTCTAGGGATATATGGATATTTGCTATTGCTCCAGAAAAGTGCTTTTTTTGTTTTGTTGTTTTCAATTATTTTACAAGGATGGAGTTCCAGGAATATAATTCTGTTGGCCAAAGGAAATGAGTAGCTTGGGTCCTGCCTATGAATTGTCATGATGAGTATAATCAATTTATAGTCTTAACTTCCATGTGGAAGTTAATAAGCACTGAAGAAACATGCGCATGGTTTAAGAAAAGAACGCTTGTTAGGATTGTAATGAATTTATTTTAAAGTTAGCAATAAATGATCGACTCTGCTTACATGGCATTTATGGTCACTGAAAACTCAGTTTGTCTTTCCTAGATTGATGAACTGCCTGAGGGAGCCGTGAAGCCCCCCGCAAACAAGTACCCTATCTTCTTTTTCGGTACTCACGAAACGTAAGTAAGGAAAATACCTTTATGTTTCAGCTGCATTAGTTTGATTCCTCTGGACTTCGTTATTAAGGATGCTCTTCACTGCTTCATGTATTTTAGTTTTTCATTATAATTGATGATAGGAAGTTACCAAGCTTAATACATTTTTCTTAACGTAAGGATTTCTCAGGTATTGGGAAGGTGCTCAGTGGTAGGGTGCTCGCCTAACACCCATGAAGCCCTGGGTTCCATTCCTCAGTACCACATACACAGAAAAGACTGGAAGTGGCGGTGTGGTTCAAGGGGTAGAGCGCTATCTTTGAGCACAGAGAGGCTTTGGGACAGCGCCTGGGCCCTGAGTTCAAGCCCTAGGACGGACACCAAAAAAAAAAGATTTTTCATCCACAGGTGTCTGAGTGGCATGAGGTGTATCTTGGCTTCTGAATGTCATTCCTGTTTCTGAGTAAATGCTGGCCATTAAGCAGAAGTCTTCCTGGGGACACTTACGTGCTTACTCTCCCAGGAATTTTATAGCTCCTTCTAGAGAAACTGTTTTCATATTTCACAGAACAAGGTTTTGTTCTGTGAGAAGCTGTTTTGCTTGTTGCCCCTTGGAGCCAGCACCTACGTTTCTGGAGTTTTCTAACTGTACGCATTCATTTACAACCTCAAATAATAGAGATGTTCGTTTCTTTCTTTTGAACTCAGTTGCAGGTGGATGTGTCCTGGAGGACCGAGGACCAGGTCCCTCTGGTCTTACTGCCCGTCCTTCACCAGTATTCCCTTCTTTGCTTAGTTTAAAGATAAACAAGCCAGTCTCAGCAATACACAGCCTCCTCTAGGCCAAGAGAAGAGGCAGAGAAGGGCAGAGAGGAGTCACTCCTTGTAAGGAAAGGATAGGAAGTTGCCAGCGCCTCCACGCTCATTTATTCCATTGGCCAGAACCTGATCAATGACCACATCTGGCTACAAAGGACCCCTCCCTTCCCCCCTCCCCCCCCCAGTTCTCCTTTGAATGTTAGCAGGTAGGGACTTGATAGAAACACTTTATTAGTTCATTGCCTTTACCACTCTGGCATCTTCTTCATTTTTTGTCTTGGCAGAACCAGGAAAGGGGTGTCAGGTCAGATCTCTGTTCCTGGGTAGACTCTTGTGCTTCTTTCAGGAATGTGTCTTCTGTGGGTTTTTATTACTTTCGTTTTGTATTGTTGGGGGTTTGGATTAGTGCAGTTTGATTTTACGCTGCTCGGTCTCAGACCCAGGGCTCCAGCGTGCTTAGCAATGCTCCGCCTCCCGCCGCACTCAGTCCCATGTTTACTAGCACGTGCTATGGTGCTCTCTCCTTTTAAGAGGTCGTAGAAAGCTTAGAAGTGAACGTAATAAGTACATATGCCTTTGTGATATTTCTTTCCCACTTGACATGTTGCTGCATTTTTAGGATGAAGCAAGATTTAATAAACACCTGAGCTCGGTGCCTCAAGCCTATAATTCTAGCTACTTGAGAGGCAGAAGGTGGAAGGTTAGGGAATTGTGGTTCGAGGCCAACCTGAGCAGAAAGAAGTTTACAACACTCTATGTCAACTAATGGCTGGGTGTATCTTTTTTTAAAGTATGTGTCTATAACATCTTGTAACTGCAGGTGCCCCGCTCAGGGTTTATATTTGCTGTAATATGTTCCTACACCTTCACTGATCCTGATATTTAAAATCTTTTCTGTTTTTCATGTCTCTGCAGTGCATTTCTAGGTCCCAAAGACCTTTTTCCATATAAGGAATACAAAGATAAGTTTGGAAAGTCAAACAAACGGAAAGGATTTAATGAAGGATTGTGGGAAATAGAAAACAACCCAGGAGTGAAGTTTACTGGATACCAGGTGACAACGATATCACTGTCATTTTTACATCTTGTTTGCTTGGTCTTAAATCTTTTTCACATCTGTGTAATCACACCTATGTCCTTTATGCTAATAGCTACTAGCCATCCATCTGAAGTCAGGGTTGTTTGTTGTTGTTTTGGCTTTCATAGACCTTTGGTTAAATGCAACTCTTTTACCTAAAAGAGGTCAAGCTAAATGGCCCCTGGAAAGTGTGTCAGCCCTTGGCTGAGTGTAAAGCAGCAATCGCTGCATCGCCGCGTTTGTCTTCAAAGCCTCATCCCGAGTAGCAGGGATTACAGCTGTGGGCTCTGGTTCTCATCACCTTTTATGTTGCAAATATTTTTTTCAAAATGTAGTTAGCTAAGCTTTTTTTCATTAGGCAATCCAACAGCAGAGCTCTTCAGAAACTGAGGGAGAAGGTGGAAATACGGCGGATGCCAGCAGTGAGGAGGAAGGCGACAGAGTAGAAGAAGATGGAAAAGGCAAAAGGAAGAATGAAAAAGGAGGCTCAAAGCGGAAAAAGTCCTATGCTTCAAAGGTTACTGACACTCCTGGGTATTACGGTTGCACGCATACTCGCTAAAAGCGCTTAGGTGGGGCCAGGTGTGGAGTTCACGCCTGTTCAGGAACTATAAGTAGGAGTCACAGTCCATCCGGCCTCGGCATAGAGTGAGACCCTATTCCCAAAAATAACAACAGTGAAAAGTGCCGTGAGTGTGACTGACTCAAGTGGTCGAGCTCCCGCCTGGCAGGCAAAGGCCCGTGAAGTCAAGCCTTTGAAACTGATGTTTGGGCTCAGGTGGTAGTAAAGTCAGATAGAAGCACTTAAATCACATACCTTGTCACTAAGCTAGACCATATTTTTTTTTCCATGCATTTAAAAAACTTGTGAGGAGCCGGGCGCCAGTGGCTCACGCCTATAATCCTAGCTACTCAGGAGGCTGAGATCTGAGGATCGCGGTTCAAATCCAGCCCGGGCAGGAGAGACCATGAGACTCCTATCTCCAGTAAACCACTAGAAAACCGGAAGTGGCGCTGTAGCTCAAGTGGTAGAGCGCTCACCCTGAGCTAAAGAGCTGAGGGACAGCACCCAGGCCCAGAGTTCAAGCCCTATGACCGCCAAAAAAAAAAAAAAGGGAGAGAGAGAAAAAAAAAAACTTGTGAGGAAAGTCCTAGATAATTTAGTGTTGTTGTTTGGTGGCACTAGAGTTTGAACTCAGGGTCATAAACGTGTGAGGCCGGTACTCAGCACTGAGTTACTTTGGGTTTTATTTGCAGTGTACTTAGAGATCTTTAAAGTTTCTTCAGGTATTGGGAAAGCTGTGTTTTCCTGTTTTGACTGAGACACACTCAGAGGCAGTGTTTGCCCTTGCGTGCCCCTGCTAAGCAACTCCGGCCACAAGCTTTAGATGTCTTTCTTTTTCTTTTCTTTTTTTTTTTTGTGGGTGGGTCCGGTCGTGGGGCCTGAACTCTGGGCCTGGGTGCTGTCCCTCAGCTCTTCAGCTCAAGGCTAGCGCTCTACCACTTGAACCACAGCGCCACTTGCGGCTTTTTTCTTTTTGCTTATGTGGTGCTGAGGAATCGAACCCAGGGCCTCAGGCATGCAAGGCAAGCGCTCTACCACTGAGCCACCTTCCCAGCCCTAGATGTCTTTCATCTTCCTGTAGGCCTCATTTCAAACGCTGGGTGAACAAGGAAAAGGACTGGCTCACATTCAGCCTTGGGTGCTTGAGAAACTAAGGATGATTTAAAGTATTAAAGTTGATTTGTCACACTGCTTGTAAAGTTTTGTAACTTTTTCTGAGTTCGCTCTTCACTCAGCAGCTTCAGCAGGTATTGCACATGAACGTCTGTGTATTACCTTCGTTTCTGTTGGGGCGTTTTGGTAGCATTGGGTTTGAACTCGGGACCTTGGGTTTGACGGGTAAAAGCACTTTGCCACTTGAGCCATCCCTAGCCTTCCATATGCATCTTGGAAAGTCTTCCTCGCTTCTCTAGACCTTGACTTCTCCTACTATAACACAGTGGGAAGAACAAAATGGTCCCTTACGTTGGGTCTACCTCTTGGTCCTGTCCCACTAGTTAATCTGAGGCCAGTGAGAGAAATGACCTATCCAGCATAACCTAGCCCCGCCTTGACAGGCTGCACATCACACCTGCTTGCGCTGCGTTCAGCTGAGAGTCCAGGGTGTTGGGTGGGGGCTTGAGATCAGGGCCTCTTGCTGTCATTCTCTTCAGGCTGGCCCTCTACCATTTGAGCCATACCTCCACTTCCTGCTTTTTGCTGGTTGATTGGAGATAATGAATGTGTCTGCCTGCTGGCTTCAAACCTCATTCCTCAGATCTCAGCCTTCTGAGTAGCTAGGATTAAAGGTGTGAGCTACTGGCACCTAGCTTGTATTTCTGGTTTTGACTATAATTTTAACTCATCTAAATATTTAGAAATCCTCTAAACAGTCCCGGAAATCTCCAGGAGATGAAGATGATAAAGACTGCAAAGAAGAGGAAAACAAAAGCAGCTCTGAGGGTGGAGATGCCGGTAATGACACAAGAAACACAACTTCAGACTTGCAGAAAACCAGCGAAGGGGTATGTGCTTTCGATTTCCTTTATCACCTGTCCATGCAGAAGACGCAGGGTCCCTGTCTTAGCAGGAGTAAACTCTGTGCTTGTGAGACATGGCCTCAGCTTGACACCTCTGCTCATGAAGCCAAGGGGGATCATACCGGCCTGACAGTTTGGAGCTCATGAACAGGCATTGTCTTTATTAAATTGTCTGTTATTGAAATGAAGTGATTATGAAATTTCTAGTTTCACAAAATTAATGGTAGCTTCAAAATACGGCATTATGTATTGTCACTTCTTTCTCAGAAGCAGCAGGTAATTTGATGTATCCCTGGTGACTCTAGATGTTTAAATATTCAAGCAAATATTTGAATATTGATGTATCTAAATACCTGTGAGGTAGATTTATCTGTCTTTTGTCCTGCTGACCTCTGTTCACATTTTTAGTGGAGCTTGGGGTTTGGTTGTTCTTCGGCAGTGCTGGTATTTAAGTTCATAGTCTGTTTGCTAGAGGAGCGCTCTCTACTTGAGCCACGCTGAAGTACCTCTTGGGTTTTGTCTTCAGTTTTATTTTTCAGATAGCCGCTTTTGGCCTGCCCTGCCTCAGACCATGATCCTTCTCTCTGCACCTCCCACATAGCTAGGATTACAAGTATACACCCCCATGCCCATCTTGTTTCCAGATAAGACCTTGCGAATTTGGGGGGGGGGGGGCTGGGCTAGTCTTGAACTGTGATTCTTCCATCTCTGCCTCCTGTGTGGCTGGGAATGCCGTCGTTTTTAAGATTCTTTTACGTGACTACATATAGCAGCAGCTTTTATTCATTTAATCATTGCTGTATGAGGAGTTTGTATTCGGAGTGTAGTGTGCTATGTGAACACACCACAATTTTTTAAAGTAAGTTTTTTATTGTGAACAGGGTTACAGTTACATGAGCAAGGTAATGAGTACATTTCTTATCCAGCATCGTTGCCTCCTCCTCTGTTTTTCCCCTACCATCCCTTCCCTCCCATCTCCTCAGCTACACCCTCCACCCCTCCCCCTCCCCGGCCTAAATTGTAAAGTTCATTTTTTGACATAGCATCTTGTTCATCTCATTGTTGCAATGGATCAACCTGTATCCCTATTTAGACAATTTGTTTTTTCCCTTCCGCTCCCCAAATTATACCAACATCAAATACGGTGAAATCAGGTTATACTGTGGGGGAGCATACCACAGTTTATCCAGCATTCTGTGAGGGGTTGTTCCCATCTTATGCAGTTAAGAATTCCCTTGCTATAGGCATTCTCGTTTTTATCTTCTAGTGTACACGTGTATTAGCTTCCTTACCTTATATAACTAGAAATGAATGTCTAGAGATATTAGTTATGAGTTTTTTTTGTTGTTGTTGTGTTTTTGTTTGTTTGTTGTCGGGGGCTTGAACTCTGGGCCTGGACACTGTCCGTGAGCTCTTCAGCTTAAGGTGAGCACGCTATGACTTGAGCCACAGCGCCACTTCCAGTTTTCTCAGGGTTAATTGGCTTCTTTTTTTTTCTTTTTTTTTTGGGGGGGGGGTCTGGTCGTGGGCCTGAACTCTGGGCCTGGGCGCTGTCCCTCAGCTCTTCAGCTCGACTAGCACTCTACCACTTGAGCCACAGCGCCACTTCCGGCTTTTTTTTTTCTGCTTATGTGGTGCTGAGGAATCGAACCCAGGGCCTCAGGCATGCAAGGCAAGCGCTCTACCACTGAGCCGCCTTCCCAGCCCTCTCATGGTTAATTAGAAATAAGAGTCTCTCAGACTTCCCTGCCCAGGCTGGTTTTGAATTGCGATCCTCAGATCTCAGCCTCCTGAGTAGCTAGGATTACAGGCGTGAGCCACCAGCGCCCAGCTGTCCACGAGATTCTTATCTCCAATTAACTACCAAAAAGCTAGGCATGGAACTGTGGCTCAAGTGGTAGAGTGCTAGCCTTGAGTGAAAACGCTAAAAGGACAGTGCCCCCAGGCCCTGAGTTCAAGTCTCAGTACTGGCACCAAAAAAGCAAAAGTCACTCATTTAAAAATAACTTATTACATAGCATAGACCACATTTTAATGAAATACAGCCAAATTTTCCCAGAAATGTTTTGTGGAAGATGACACTGCCTTCCACTTCTGCAAGTCTCTTTAATGTCTAAAGTGGTAGAAGATTCTGTGGCTCCTCATTCTATCTGCCATGATGCTAATTTGGGTAAAGATACTAACCAAAGATACATAGGCAAAGATGCCCACCAAGATATATAGCTAGATAATAAAAAGATCTTTCAGATCAGTATCTTCAGTAATTGTGACTCTTCTTGTTTAACATTTCACTAACTCGGTATGTGGTTGTTTATTAAATGTTGGACAGCATGTGCAATCTGAACTTGCCATATTTTGGTTTTGGGGTTTTGTTGTTGTTTTTTTTTTTTTGGTTGGTCGTGGGGCTTGAACTCTGAGCCTGGGCGCTGTCCCTGCGCTCTTTAGCTCAAGGCGAGCACTCTACCACTTGAGCCACAGCACCACTGAACTTGCCATATTCTGTTATATTAAAGTCTACTGAACTACCTAGCATCTCAAATATCTGAGTTTATGTTTTGTTTTGTTTGTGCCAGTCCTGGGGCTGGAACTCGGCCTGAGTACTGACCCTGAACTTTTGCTAATGTTCTGCCACTTGAGTCACAGCTTCACTTCCAGCTTGTTTGGTAGTTAATGCAATATAGATTTTCTTCCCTGGGCTGGCTTCAAACTGTGACCCTCAGTACTCAGCTTCCTGAGTAGCTAGAATACAGGCGTGAGCCACCAGCACCCGGCTTTCCATGAACTTTTTGATAGGAAAAAAGCAAAGCCTCGGAAGTTGCTTTTGCTAAGTACGGTTACTGCCACAATTCAGATCAGTTGCTTACCCACTTGTATACTGTGTACTGCAGACAGTTCTGTGAAACCCTAAATCACCTAACGGCTTGTTTTCTTTCTTTTTTTACAGACCTAACTACCATAACGAATGCTGCATATTAAGAGAAACCACAAGAAGGTTCATTGTTGGGTTGTCTAATATTCTTGGATTTGATATGAACCTACACATAGTCCTGTTGTCACTGGCAGCCCAGTTTGTACGTACATCGTCCATATTCCTCTGTTGCGTTGGAAAAGACATGTTAGCCTTTTTTAAGGTTATTGATTTGATTTCTTGTTACTTGATTGCATGAAGTTGCCCTTAGCCACTGAGAAACACTGAGGTTTTGCGCAGACTTCTACATGTCTGGGATCCTTTCGTCAAGTCCTGCCTTGGCCTCTGTCGACCAAGCACTCAGTTAACTATGAGCATTTTTGTATGACCACCCAGCACAGGCATAAAGACAGGACGTCCTCTTTGACAGAACTCAGGAGCTAATCCCTACATACATAATTGGTAAATTGGAGAGTAAATTGTCCTTCAGTTTTGAGGCTATGTGTAAAAGTTCAACCATCTTGTACAATGTCTATTCTATATTAGAAATAGCTAGTCAGCAGCTTACACTTCTCAAAATACACGGTGTGTACACAAACTGAGTTTCTATATGTGAAGATAGTGAGTCTTCTGTGTTACTCCAAATTAAAGGCAGGGATTTATCTTTCCCCGATGCCAGTACACGCTGAGCCAGCACGCGAGATGGATCCTTGACGCGTGGACCTGCGGAGCTCAGCGTAGCCCATGGCAGCGACAGGGCATTGACTCCGCCTAGGGGCTTTGAAAACGGACTGTTTCCTTCTGGAACTAGAATTAGAATAGTGAAATAGCCATCCACAAACCATTACTCTGTGTACATGATTGTTGCTATTGTGATAATAGAGAACGTAATTTATTTTTATGCCAGCCTATATCGTGAGCACACATCTAGTCCGTTGGGGTTTTATCGATCCTGTTTTGCTCGTCCTTTGAACATTTTTCGAGTACTCGAGGTTTGTAGTTGAAAAGTTTACTGTAAAAAAAAAATCAAAAACAAAAAAATGTATTGTTTTTACAGAATAAATATATTGGAATGTGTACTGGGAGTAAGATTGAGGTTGTGAACCATCGAGTCAGTGTAATTTGGCTTTATTGTGACGTGAGGTATTAATGTAACTCGTTATTAAAGCAAAACTTGCCAACAGCCAGTTGACGGTAGTCGAGTGCAGGCAAGGCTTTTTTTTCTCCCCTCTTGTATGTTTAGGCTCTCTGGGTTCTAGGTGAACACTGGGGAGGTTGAGAAGCGATCGCATGTCTTCACACTCAGCGGACCCTAAGCTCACACCTTGGCATCCTGTCTTCTTTTGGTGAAGAATTGATAAACATAAAGAGTATGTGATAAGTACACACCGGGGCCGTTGGTGCTGGCGGCGGCGGCGAGATGTCCACGCTGGATGGCTGGGCGGTGGCGAGATGTCCACGCTGGATGGCTGCTGCCCCGCCCGTCCCGTCTGCTCCAGGCACCAGGAGGCAGCCCTGGAGCTGTTTGTCTCTCATTTAACAAATCCTAGCTTCCTCTATCAAACTCACTTCCAGATTCAAAATGACGACAAAGAGATAGCAGGGAAGACAATCGGTCTTTAAAAGGTACTTCTAATTCTAATTTTGAATATTTTATTTCAAAACTAATTCAGTATTGGCTGGGGTGTGGCTCAAGTGGTAGAGCACCTGCTTAGTAAGTGTGAAGCCCGGAGTTCAAATCCCAGCACCTCCAAAATAAATAAGTAAAATTAATGACTCTTAATTCATCAAAAGATTTCTTCATTGCTCACACTAAAACCTGAATATAGAAGACATTTTTTATTGGAACATACAATACACATATATGTATACTATATAGGATAGATTTTGTTAAATAGTCAAAGCTTATGAAATATATATATTTCAAATTAACACAATTTGTTTTCATAAAGGCAAAAATAATTTTATTAAAAATATGCACAGAAATACAATAGATATATTTCCAGTCACCAATAAAACAAGTATTTACTAAGGGTAATGATAGGCTATCTCATTTTGACTATTTAGATTCACACAAATATTTTTAATAGTAATTTTTTAAAGCAGTTAACGTACTTTCCTTGAAAAAAAACGTTTTAAAATATTCCGATAGCCTTTTATATTGAGGTTGATAATGAAGCATATACATTTTATATGCAAAAGCTGTATCTCCAACCTGCAACTGCTGTTTTAAATTATTTTATATACATCAACCATATTCACTTCATTTTTATGCTCAGTTGTGGGCATTAAATTGTAATTTTTCACACAAAATTTAATATGTGCAAATGGAATATTGAAATATATGGTCAGGTTTATCCACAGATAATTTTGAGGTATTTCTTTAAACAACTATTCCCAATTGCTTCAATTTTCCATAAAAGAAGAAAATTAACCTGCACAATACTGTAGTTTGATCACGCGGGCAGTGAAGATCGAGAACCTGTGCCTGAGTGTCTGTGTGGAAAGGAAGTGGCCGAGGCGTCTCCCTCATCGGGCAGTGCGGCCGGTGAGTGGAGTGACCAGAGGAAGAGCTCGAAGGCGTGTCTATTCCGCTTTCTCATCTGCCTTTGTTTTTACGAAGAACTCCGGTCTGTAGACACAGCGATAGGCCAGGAGCTGAGGTAGAACTCCATATGCTATATTTAATGTTAAAAAGAGAATTTTTGCTTCGTCAGGGACTCTGTGGGCATAGGCCGTTCTCGCATGGAGGGACGCGCCAATGTGAGAAAACTGGGCCTGTAGTATCAAAAAAGAAAAGCAAGGAAGGGGTGAGTGTGGCGTTCGTGTCCACTCAGACGAGCGGTGGGCTCCAGGCAGCTCATCCGCACCTCGTGTGCTCCCAAGACTGTTTGCTCGCAGGCAGAATACCTTCACGCGACCCCATTCAGTGCAGGGTCATTCGCAATATAACTTCAAATAAAATACACTTTCTTTAATGTGGTTCTATTATGTCCATTTTTTATCTCACCCCGTGCCCCATACCAAACATTAGGGTCTGGCTTTTTAATAGACAAACCTAAATAAAACTTCCATTTCTCTTCTGATTTGCACCTGGAAATCTTGTGAAGCAATTCCAGGTGCCAGTGGTTCATGCCTGTAACCCCAGCTATTTAGGAGGCTGAGATCTGAGGATGTGATTTGAAGCCAGCCCAGGCAGGAAAATCCATGAGACTCTTGTCTCCAGTTAACCACCAAAAAGCTGGAAGTGGAGTTGTAGCTTTAGAGGTAGAGCATTAACCTAAGCTCAGAGATACTGCCCAGGGCTCTGAGTTCAAGCCCCAAGACTGGCACCAAAAAAGATAAAAAGGACATTGACATTATAAAATACATTTAGCATAACAGTCAATTTAAAGAAAAACCCTGTTGAGAACTGGTTACTCATGCTGATAATCTTAAGCTACTCAGGAGGCTGAGATCCAAGGATCAGGGATCGAAGCCAGCCAGGGCAGAAAATGTCCCAAAACTCTTATGGCCAATTAACCAGCAAAAAGAAAAAGTGAAGGTATGGTTCAAGTAGTAGCACACTAACCTTGAGCCAAAATCTAAGCCAAGAGTGTGAGAACCCGAGTTCAAGCCCCAGTACTAGCACAAGAAAGGAAGCACTGAGAACCTCAACTTCTTTTATCATTCTTGTATTCTTGGAGCAGGAGCTCGAACCTTCTCATTGTGTAGTTTGTTTATCTGTGTATTTGTTTTCTGTGATAGCAGTTAGAAGAATGATTGTTCTTTATAAAGTTATAAATACGTGCAGGCAGGCTTTTCAAATCAAACTGTAATGTATTTACAAGTATGACTTGCAGCAGGCTGGGTGCGGGAGGGCCTCCCGAGCCTGGCGTCTTGGGAGCACACATCCCTCTTGGGTGGGTGGTTGTGGGGGTGGTTTCTGATACTTTGCCTAAGCACAGAGGAAAATGATAGTAGATCAGGCAGTCAAGGCGGGAGGAGGAGCAAAATCTGTGAGGTTTCTGGGAAGTTATGCCATTGTGGAATGCAGCCCCAAGTCTGCATTTCCATGTCCTGCTGAAATTCAAGGCATGCGTGTGTAAAGGACTGGGAACCTAAATGTGATAAGTAATAATCAATAGTTTGCCAGGACCAAGGTGAAGAGATACGATACTACGACCTAGAGAAAACAGAAGTAACCGGAAGGAAGAGTGGGTGTGAAGCAGTGACTGCCGAGTGGTCAGCAGATGACCGGCTGCAAGCGTCTGAGCCCGAGGAGGCACGGCCGCCGGCTCTCCCGAGCAGCGTGCGTGTGAATCCGTATCCCTGGCAGATAAGCGAACGGGCTGTCGCTTTCTAAATCACCTGGACACTCTGCATACTTCTGGTACGTGCTTGCTATCCTCTGGGGAAAGGAAGTGGATTACTGTTGGCTGCCAAGGACCAACAAGTGGATCATCTGCCTGGTGACTGCAAGGCGGAGTGTGCCCTGCCCACAGACGCCTCCCTGGGCAGATGCCCACACAACCCAGAAAATACACTTGGAACTCTGGGCCACAAGGACAAAAGGACCGTGAGCCACGAGCCCCTGGGGGCCCTCCCCCCGCCCCCCCAGCTGCAGCTGGGACACTCAAGAACTCCCTAGGGCCCATTTTGAATGCCTTTTTCTGAATATATACCTAAACCTTTTCTTCTGGACTAGAGGCCAGTTTTCAACCCTATTTTCTCAGAAATGTGGGTTTGGTGACATTATGGACTTGTGCACATTGCAGAATTGACCAGATTCGGAAAAGGCACCATCTGTGCTTTCAGAGTAAGGACCAGGCGGCTGTGCCTCCTTGTGTGGGAAGTCAGCCGCTTCGCGGCCCGGCCCGTGCTCTGACGCGCTGGCCGGTGCAGCTATACCTCATCCTCACCACAGCAGACTCACAGCAACATGGAAAAACGATCATGTCCTTAGGTTAGATTGTAAGCCCACTGGGCAGGAACTGTGTCAAATGTTTTGTGTGGCACCTATCACATTGTTAAAGCTCAATAAACGTTCAACAGTAAGAGTCTTGTGCCTGTCAAGAATCAAAATGGATCTATTAAGAACTTTTCTATTTTCATACGTCCATGAGGCCATTCTCGGAAATGGAGGCGCTGCCCTGCGCCTCGTTAGCAGAGGGGATCCCAAGGCCAGTCACCTGCCGCTCCTCGCGCCCACCTTCTCCCCTGAACCACAAGCTCAGGCTCATGTGCAGAGGGCTGTCCCCGCCCCAGCACTGGCCTGTCGGGCAGCCGCCCCTGGGCAGCACTGCAGGCACCCCAGGCCTCCCAGTGCTGGCTTTGGGTCCAGTGGGTGAGTAAGCTCAGAGCTGCCCAAGTTCTGCATCTGTAATCGCTTCACTTCAGTGACGTGAACTGAAGGTTCACGGGGTTGTCCTCTTATTTCATTCTAAATTGTCTTCTAGTTATGCAACTAATTTACAGAGATATGCTTTTTTTCTTTTTAAGGTGGCTTGAGTGGAATGGAAAATGTGGCACTGAATGTGAACAAAGTTGCATTTCCATCGCTCTCCTAAGCTCTAGACCAGCAACCTAGAAAGCATGGCTAGAAACTGCAGTTCTGCCTGCTCAGTGGACTGTGGCATGGATGTCACAGGGGAGAAGGGACGTGGCCCTTGGGACCGGGGCCGGGTTGTTTAGCTGAAAGGGGACTTGTCGCTAACCCGGATGCTGCTATCTTAAGGACTTTCTGAGAGCCATAGCCATGCGTCAGCACTGACTCTGGAAGCAGGTGCCAGAGTCCATTCCACCCCTGCCCGACAGACAGCAAGGTGACCCTGGGCCAGGTGTGTCACCTGTAGAGTGGGTAGTGACAGAACCTCTCTCCCGACAAGGTAGGAGTTCTAACGAGGGCTCAGAGCGGCGCCACAGACGGGGGGCTCTTCTGTGATGCCTGCTCAGGACCTGGCACTCTGTTTTGGTGAAAACTTGGGCTCCCTTTGTTTCAAGATCCTCTTGGGGGTGTTTCCCTCAAAGGAAAGAAGCACAAAAAGATGTTAGACCCAAAGTCTAGCTCGAATAGTGAATGTGTCTAGTAATGAGTCAGACGTGTGGGGCAAAGGCATAAATAAGGTTTGCATTAGTCCCCTGATGACGCGTGCTCCTCCCGGTCTTGACTCCAGATAACACTTTCCTGAAGGAACGCCTTAGGAAACTCCTAGGACGGCCATCCAGGTTTAATCCGATTATCCACAGGTGAGTGCTCGCAGCCCTGCACAGAAGGGGGGCGAGGTCCCTGACTCACGGGGCTCATTCTGCCTTGATGGCAGCAGGGAGCCCACAGCAAATAGGTCCCTCAGCTTTTGCCCAGTTTCTTTGGTTTCGAGGTGATTATACGCCGCTAAAATTGTCTTCAGGTTCATTACTCTCTAAAGGCCTGTCTCCTCCCCGCTTGCGTAACGGTGACGTGCCAGGTACTGCTGTGAGCCCTACGCTCATACAGCACTGAGCAGCAATACACTCACATCACCAGTCAGCCCTCCATACCTGGGCCAGGCCTCCGGCGTGTATCAGTGTGACGTCCCGCATCCAGGAGCACCCTGGGACCACGAGGCCGTAAAAAGCGATCACAAAGTAGGGGACAGAATAGAACATGTACGCCAGCATCTGCATTGAACAGGGAGGGAACGTCAGTAGATGTGTGATCTGAATGAAAAGAAAAAAATGGACATTTGCTAATGGGCAGTGTAACAAGTACTCAACCTGAACTTTAGGGTAAGCCACGGGGTCCTTTAGGTAGGGCTCCTGAAACTGTGTGTATAACCGGCAGAGCTCAGCGGGGCAGTCCAACGCAACCTGAAAACAAAGTGAAGTTGTTCCGCAAACACAGCCACTTCTGAGCCCAGGGTTCTCTGATAAGGCTATAAGGGCATCAGGTTTAGTCACAGCTGTCTGGCTGTTGAACCAAAACTGCACTGAAGAGGCTCATCAGAGAAAAAGCAAAGAATGGAATTATTCTGCAGATTTATCTAAGGAGATTGAGCAGAGGTTAATAATGGAGCAGGAGGTAGAAACTAAGACTATTATCAGTAGCTTGCACAGGCTCATAAAGGATCTGGGTTTAGTAGCTGAAACCTGGTTGGCTTTACATGGCAAGTTCCTCCCTTCTGGGACATAAAGCACCTGTCCATATCAAATGCACCTTATCATGCCTTGTAAGACTCGGAAATGGTGTTTTCCCCTCTCCGGGAACGCAGATCAAGCCCAAAGGCCCATCTGCAAATGCGCTGCGCACCACACACACATGCACATTTTCCCTCAGGTGCAAAGGAGCTGGAAATGGCTAGGCGGGAACACCACCCGTTGCCATTACTTATTATCTGCGTTTGGAGAACTGGAGCAAACTAACCAAAGAACCATTTCAGCGGTCTAAGGAAAGCCTATGGCCTTGCCTTCTGTATTTCTGTCTCTTGTGTCCTAGGCCAAATTCTTGTGGAAGATTCGGACAGTGCACAGACCACACTAAGAACGGCGTCTCATCCTGGGTCAGGGACACCGGCTGGCACCTGGCACACCGTGCCTCAGCTCTGCAGCGCCAGCAGTTGTGGGATGGTGAGCCACTGCTCCTGAAGCTGAATGCACCAGCCACGCAACGCGGCTCAAATGTAACAAGTTGTAAAACGGGCAGCTCACAGGATCACCGAACAGGTAAGAGCTCAACAGCAGTCACTTATTATTTGCTATGTATAAGACTCTCTTCTGATCGTTTAGGTCCAGTATCTTAATCTCCAGAACAAAGAAGGAGTACTAGTTTACAGAGGAGAAAATTATGGGTCGGAGATTAAGTAATTAGGACAGGGCCAGGATTCCAACTCCAAAACTTATAGGTCTGTCTTTTAGCTACGGCACTAAGAAAATGATAAAGGGAAAGACCAAAGTGACATGCCCGTGTGCCTTTAATGCCCATTACCCACATCAGGACAGAGACTCCAGAGTGAGCGTAATTTACCCCACATTATTCTCAGCAAGGAGAAGTTCACATGGCCGTTCTATGTGGTCCTACATAGGTGAAAACTTGACCCTCGGTTCCATTGCTCCTACTCATTTCTTGGTTTGGTTTGTTGACTTTCTGAGATAGGATCTCAGCCTAGGCTGGCCTTGAGCTTTCTGTGTAGCCCAGGCTCACTCAAACCCCTGGTCCTCCTGCCTCAGCCCCCCGAGTGCTAGGATTTCTGGCTGGCAGCACCGTGCCCGCCTCCCTTCCCCCCACTCCTGGAGAATATGTGGTGCCTGGTGCTAGGGTTGTACTGGAATCAAGACATCACCTTACCAAAGACACTTAGCTCTAAATAAGAAACATCCAAGCAACCACAGAAAACAATTCTAAAGGCTGAATTTTCACATCCTAAAACTAGGAGAGGAAGACATGGATAGAGTTTGATCTAAGGACTAGAAGAAGGCTGTGTGAAAACTCGGGACGAGCTGCCCTTGGAGGCAGGGAGCAGGTCTGAGGCTCCAGGCTCTGATCAGATTTTAATAGATTCCCGAGAATTCTAGCCTAAGAAGGGCACTGGTGGCTCACACCTGTAATCCTAAACACTCAGGAGGCTGAGATCTGAGGATCGCTATTGAAGCCAGGCAAGAAAGTCTGTGCAACTCTTATCACCAATTAACTACCCAAATAGCTCAAGTGGTAGAGCACTAGCCTTGAGCAAAAAGCATCAGAGACTGTATCCAAGTCCTGAGTTCAAACCCAAGGACAGGCCACACACACACACAGAGTACCCCAGAACTTATTTCCAGGTGTTTCCCCACCGGAAGCACTGGCAGTGTAGTTACGTTACATATTGATCCGTTAGGCATACCAGGCGTCTGAGTTCAAACCCTAGCACAGGCCACACACACACACGAGAGTAGTACCCCAGAACCGGGTGTTTCCCCACCAGAAGCAGGCTTACCAGGCCTCTGAACAGGCAAAACCCAGTGGCCAGAAGGAGACACAGGACCAACATCAAGTCACAAGGTCTTCTCAGCAGGCCCTTTGCTTGTACCTCTTGCACAACCTAAAACAGAATTTGTAACTCAGGAGCCAAGTCCAGAGTTCAAAGAACTCGAAATCTACTGAATCGTTTGTTTGTATTTGTTGTGCTGAAGTTTGAACTCAGGGCCTCAGCGTTTATTATGTGGGAGCTCTTCCACCTGAGCCACAGCCCCAAACCTTCTTTGCACTAGCTATTTTTGTGAAACGATCTCACTTTTGCCCAGCCCATAATCTATTTTATGCTTCCTTTTTTTCTTTTTTGGTGCCAGTACTGGACTAGAACTCCTGTTTCTCCCAGCACTGCGTGGCAAAGCTCACGTTGGTCCCTTTGCCATGTTTTAGCGTTAAGGATGACACTAACGAAGGTCTTCGTGGGTCTCGAGACCTGAGCACTCCATTGGCACTCACATGAACCTTTGAAAACAGGCAGGCCAAGGCTAAAGCTAGAGTTACTGTTAGCTTTTTCTTTTAAACAACTACCTATGCAGGAGCTGATAAGAGCCAGTCTTGGATAAGACCACTACCACAGGAGTTCCCAAAAGTGAGGCCTGGCCAATAGAAGGGGGCGTTCAGACAGAAACGGGCCATCTGCAGTGTGGACTAAGATGCATACAGTGCTGCACTCGGCACGGTCAGCTGACCAAATGACTCAGTGCTCCGCTCCTCAGAGGCTCAGTTCTGTTCATGGCGCATGGACCTAGGTAAGCTCTGTGAGTTGAGAACAAGCTACGTTTAAACTTCATACAAGCCACCAGCTTTTTAAAGTTCAAAAGTGCTGGTGATTCACGACTGTAATCCCAGCTACCCAGAAAGCTGAGATCTGAGTATTGAGCTTCAAAGCCAGCCCTGGCAGAAAGTCTGTGAGACCCTTTATCTCCACTTAACCACCAGAAAACAGGAAGTGGTGCTGTAGCTTAAAGTGGTAGAGCACCAGCCATGAGCAAAAGAGCTCAGGAACAATGCTTAGGCCCAGTGTTCAAGCACTATGAATGATCCCAAAAAAAAAAAAAAAAATCACACTCTTAATAAAGTTACCTTTGAAGGATAATTGTAATTTTCTGATGGCTGATTATAGATTCTGAAACCGGCCCAGATGGAAAGACAGCCATATGGTATGCTTAAAAAAAAAGCAGGACAAATTTGTACTCCAAACTTCCCTGTTTAAGAGAGAGAGAAAGAATCAATAGTTTATTCAAGCATGTCAAAGTACAAGCAATAGTAAAGACATAACCCCATCTCAAATCATCTAAAATTTTGCTATGGAAAAAGCTTTATTTGCATGAGATAAAAGGTCAATTTAAACCTATTAAATTATAAATATATCTACACACACATAGATATGTGTATTTATGTATGTATAAAGATAGCATAGTGAAACCCTCTACAGCACTGTTTAAAAAGAGGAAGAAGGCTGAGAGAATATAATAGAGGGATAATGTGCTCCAAGTACACTGTATGCATCTATGGAAATGCTACAGTTTTCTTTGTACAATTTATGTGTACTAATAGAAAAACTATCTGATGCTTATTAACAGTCATGTCTTTATCTACAATATCAAGAAGCACATCTAAGGGCTGGGAAGGTGGCTCAGTGGTAGAGTACTTGCCTTGCATGCCTGAGGCCCTGGGTTCGATTCCTCAGCACCACACAAGCAAAAACAAAAAAGCTGGAAGTGGCGCTGTGGCTCAAGTGGTAGAGCGCTAGCCTTGAGCTGAAGAGCTGAGGGACAGTGCCCAGGCCCAGAGTTCGGGCCCCATGACCAGACCCAAAAAAAAAAAAAAAAAGCACATGTAACATCCTAATTTTCTACACTCATAAATAATGTCTTACATAGCCTTCAAGAGTCTTAATTTCTGTGTACATTTATGAAGTTCTCATAGAGTGTCAGGAGTTATTTAAAATACAAAGAGTTGGAAGAAATAGCTGCACAAATGCCGTAGTCAGCCTCTCTATCTCCTTCTAGAAAGTAAAAATAGCCAATTACTTGACAATGTAGTCATTCAGTACATTTCTTAAGAGCTGAGATTACAGAGGAATAGGAACAACTTTGCCAAATTGTTTTTTGTAAGCTTTGAATTACTTGGTTTTCCTACATCCAAATAATTTCTCTACTTAAAAAAGTACTGCAGGCGGGGGCTGGTGGCTCACGCCTGTAATCCTAGCTACTCAGGAGGCTGAGCATGGTGGTTCAAAGCCAGCCTGGGCAGGAAAATCTGTGAGACTCTCATCTCCAATTAACCACTAGAACATCGGAAGTGGTGCTGTGGCTCAAGTGGTAGAGCACTTGCCTTGAGCTGAAGAGCTCAGGGACAGTGTCCAGGCCTAGAGTTCAAGCCCCAGGACTGACCAAAAAAAAAAAGACAAAAAAAAAAACTCCAGAAAAGAAAAGTGAATGTTAAGATAAAGTTTCTTACCTACGATGTTTCCAGGCACAAAAACCACAGTGCTCATTACAATGGATCCAACCCAGTATAGGCCAACAGTTCTGTAACTCTCCCTGCAACAGAAAACCTTGGCTCCGTGCACTTGTCTTAAAATAATACTTGTAGCAAAAGGTGATACTCAACGTTATTTTTCCTCACTAGTGAACTGCACGCATAGAAACTTATTGAATCAAGAGCAATAAACACAAGGGACCATTTCTGTGTGCAATAGACTGTGTACAGCCTCCTTTGCAACCTTTTGAACAGAACTCTGCCTGCCACACTGCTCTGCCGGCTTTAACTACAGTGTGGCCCTCGCTGGACCTTGCATTTCCCCATAGGTACAAAACTCAGCACGGAAAGGGAAAGGGGCTGAAGCATAAAGGATGCTGAATCCAGATTTTAAGTCCTTCTAAGTGTGGGTGGCTGATGTAAAATGGACCTTCCTTAGTAGCATGGAGTTTTGGCCAGAGCCCCGAAGGGGAAGGTAATTCCTGACCCAACTCCACATTCTAAAGCGGCTGCCAGACTTTGAGCCCTCATGCCCGGTAAGATGTTCCTTCCGCGGCTGATTCAGTATATATGGAAAGCTAGGAGGCATTCAGAAGGAACAAGTGGAGAATACTGCACTTAGTGGCCGGCTCAGCCTGCTGACCCCATGAGAACAAAGCACAGTGTCTCAGGTTACTGCAGGAGGAGAGACGGGAAAAGGCGCGGCGGCCTTGAGGAGAAATGGGCCGCCAGCCAAGCATTTCCATTTTGAATGGGACTTGTTTGAGTGAAAGCCGGGGAGAGTAGCTGGTTTAAGCCACCTTGAGAGCCCCTCCCCCAGAAAGGCTTTCTGAGACCCCAGAAGGAGCTGGCTCTGGGGGAGCCATCAGTTCTACAGAGAGCACTGCCAGCTTCCCAGACGGCTGTGATGCACAGATTCAAGACATCGGGGTCTCGGGAAGGCCGGGGCCGCTTGTGCACCCCACAGGACAGCCAGCATTCCCAGCAGCGAAAACAACTCGGGCCTGAGCCTTCCCACAGACAGTACCAGTGGAGGGCCACAGACCCAGGTCCCAGAGCCACAGCTGAACTGGGGGAGAAGCTTCACCCTGCACCGAGACCAGAACTTTCCATTAGAATGTGTGCTTGAATTCTTAAAAATGGGACTGTTCTTAGAAGAGAGCATGACCTCAAAGCTACGGGGTCACTGCCTCAGCCGTCAGCAGAGTGGGGGCCAGACCGAGAGGACGTGTTCCAGAAGGCCGTGTGCTAGGAAACTCAGACCCACGACACCAAGCACAGCCGTCCGCGCGCCCCTGTGCGCACGCTTTCCTTATGGACTCACTCGCGTGTTGAGGTGGAGAGACCCCCACAGACTTACTCCCAGGCGATGGCTGCCACCATCACCAGGTACATCAGGTAGTGGGCCGAGCCGTCCCAGTAGCAGATCATGTGCCCGTGGGCCGTGTTCAGATAGGGCTCGCCCTGAGGAGAGCAGGGGAAGAAAGCCGCTTTGAGTGGGACGCACTCCGTGCGGAGCACCGGACCTCGGTTAGGGAAATAGCCACTGACTGGTGTGGACGGTGGCGGCCGAGCCACGGCCGCTGCGGGGAGGGCTTGGCCGGCGGCTCCTGACGGACCAACTCAGATTTGTACAACGCAAAGGCAGATGGCGGTGTGGTCAGTGTGATCATGCGACCAACTCACAGGCCAAATCTGTGCCTGGAGGAGCCTGGCCGCAGCTGGAGGGGTGCCCAGGGAAAACCCCGCTGGACGAAGCCAGGCTGGCCGTGGCCGGCACAGAGGCCTCTCCTGTGCACAAACGGGCGGTGCGCTGAGCCCCCCCACGCCATCCTCCATTCTGCCTTCCAGGCGGCGCGAGGAGACCAACGCACCGACTCCAAGGGGCCCAGGCTCCGAGGGGCCCACGCGGAGGAGAGCCTGCTGCTTCCCACCCACCTCTCCTGCCACCCCGCAGTCCCCAGCCTCACCCCGCACCGCACGCCTCTGCCTGAGCTCCCAGCTTCTCCTGGCTTCCTAGCCACCCCAGCTCCTGCCAGCCTCTCCAGGCTGCCTTCCAGCCCTCAGGGCAGCTGCTCCCGTCGGGGCGGACAAGCCCCACTCCCTCCTCCTCCTCCCCCCACCCCCCAGCCCTTGGAGACCTCCACCTAGACTTCTGCAAGCCAGCCAGTTGAGATGTCAGCCCGCGCTGAGCTCCTCTGCCTCGGCTCCAGCAAACACTTCCACTCCAAAGCCACGGTCTCCTGGGCCTGGCCCTCCCTGCCACCACCGTGGTGTCATCACCCTCATGCTGAAGCTCCCGACGGCTGGCCCTTCCCAGCACGGTTGCTGTCTGGCCCTGCAGAGGCTGCCTTGTTCCTGGGGTCCCGGCTGGAGACATCAACCCTTCCCCACGTGCCCATCCTCCTGGGTTGACCGCGTCCGCCCCGGTGTGAAGCCTCTGCCCGCACGAGGTAGCATCCAGACCCCTCACACGAGGACTAGACTTCCCACTGCTCCATCTGCTGTGTGACCTGGAGTGCGTGTCAGCCTCCCTGAGCTCTGGTCAGTCCCTATGAAATGGGGACACAGACCGACACCCCCCCCCCTGGGAGGGGCTGGGCTAACCCAGCAGCTTTCATACCTTGGCTGATTTGGTCTTCTGAGATTTTAATAGGCTTTTTTTTTGGGGGGGGGGGGGGTCATGGGACTTGAACTCTGGGCCTGGGCGCTGTCCCTGAGCTCTTCAGCTCAGGGTGAGTGCTCTACCACTTGAGCCACAGCGTCACTTCCAGTTTTCTGGGGGTTAATTGGACTTTCCTGCCCGGCTGTCTTTGAACTGTGGTCCTCAGATCTCAGCCTCCTGAGTAGCTGGGATTATAGGCATGAGCCACCACTGCCTGGCTTAATGTGCTTTTAATAGACACGTACTTACTGTATTCATGCAAAGGGACAGGGTGGAGGGAGCAGCTCCTGGGGAGCTCCGTGTGCGCCCAGCCCCAGCCTGCCTCTGAAGGGGGGACAGAGGAGGACCAGCACCCTAACGCAGTGGCTGGGAGGCCTACCTCTCTCAGGTAATGCGTCATGAAGCCATCGATGACACCGTCCTGCTCCAGGCCCGTGATGAGGCTCACCACGCTGGTGAATCCGAAGACTGCGTACACTGCAACAAAGGATGCCGCGATTCAGCACAGCCGCCCTGGAGACGGACGGCGAGCCAGGGGACAGACGCGTGGTACTGCGACACAGACTAGCAAACCCGGATCTCGCTGCCCATGCGGCCTCTCCCCACCCCGCACGGCGCACGGGCCCGAGGCCCCTGGCCCTCCAGGAGTCGCGGGGACGCGGTTACTGCACAGGTGAGTGGGGGCCTGGCCTGGGGCTCGCTCCTGCAGCTGCAGTGTGCGCCCAGCTGGAGGACGGAGCCCACGGGGAGGCGGGGGAGGTGAGTGCGGGGGGTGGGGGGAAGGGGGGCAGCGGGAGCTGAGCAACGCCAAGGGAGACAGGGAAAGGACGCGGCTCCGGAGTCGGGCGGCCCGCGCAGCGCAGCCTCCAGCCAGCCCCGACAGCGTAGGCCCTGAGGGTCCTGGCAGATGGCCTGGGAATCACGGTCCTCTGCACGCTCCTCCGAGGCTCACCAGGTAGAGGACTTCGTGGTGGAACTTTCTCTGCCCTCAGAGAGGAGGCAGAGTGCCAGCTCCAGGCCAAGGCCCTCCCGCTCCCCTCTGCACCTCTGCCCGCCCAGATGGAGGCCTGTGAGGAGACACATGGAACTGCCCGAAAGCCAACCCGGAGCCGGAGCCGGAGCCCCAGCCCCGTGGGCAGAGAGCAAGTGCTGAGGTAGGACACCTGAACTTGGGGAATGAGAGGTACCAGCATCACCACGGGAAGAGCCAGAAGGTGACATGGCCACCAGGGAGACACGCGGGTCGCAGGAGACACCGTGAACGGGCCAGGCAGAGGGGCTCCCCCACGGCCCCAGCTACTTCAGAGACCAGAGGTGCACAGCCACCACCCCAGCTTCCTGGGAAGATCAAGGTTTAAGACCAGGCAAAAAGGCTAGTGAGGGGCTGGGAAGGTGGCTCAGTGGTAGAGCGCTTGCCTTGCATGCTCGAGGCCCTGGGTTCAATTCCTCAGCACCACATAAGCAAAAAGAAAAAACCCGGAAGTGGCGCTGTGGCTCAAGTGGTAGAGTGCTAGCCTTGAGCTGAAGAGCTGAGAGACAGCTCCCAGGCCCCGAGTTCAGGCCCCATGACCGGACCCAAAAAAAAAGAAGCCAGAAGCGGCGCTGTGGCTCAAGTGGTAGAGTGCTCGCCTTGAGCTGAAGAGCTGAGGGACCGCGCCCAGGCCCAGAGTTCAGGCCCCATGACCAGACCTCCCCACCAAAAAAAAAGAAAAGCTAGTGAAACACTGTCTCCGTCGATAAGCCCAGGGGGATGGTGCCCTACGCCTGCCACCCCAGCTGCAGGGAGAAATGGGCAGGAGTACAGAGGCTGAGGCTAGCCCTGGCGAAAACTGTGAGACTCCGCTTGAAAAATAACCAAACCAAAAAGGTCTGGGGGCAGGACTGTCTAGCAAGGGCAAGGCCCTGAGTTCAAACCCCAGCGGGAAGAAAGGGAAGAAGGAAGGACAGGAAGGAGGGGGTCCGGCAGACGAGGCAGCATCAGTGCTGTTCTCACGTGCTTGTTGCTCCAACCACACTCCTGGGAAATCTCGGAGCTAGCCTCTTCATTCCTAAGTGGCAGGGCGTTTGTGAGGAGAGTTCAAATAATACTGCGGAAGTGCTCAGGGTCACTGCAGCTGCTCCCCTGTGCTGTGGCATTTGTTTGCCCAGTACTGACAAGTCTTGAAAGAACACACATGTAATGGTGAGTGCCCACAGTAGGAATGCTAGTCTCTTATTCAGGTGTACAGACCAAGGCTTCAGGCCATGCATCCATGCTCAGAAAAGGAGCTGCAAGTGCTGGCTAAAGGCAGGAGGCCCGGGAAGGAGGCCCAGTTGAACAGCATGCTGGGGGCAGGGTGGGGGGAGACCTAGGGGTGTGATGGAGAGCGCAGCCTCAAACAGCCCTGCACCTGCAGCTCCGGCACCCAGCCGGCTCAGAGGAGTCCTGCGGGCAGCCATGGCTGAAGGCTGAGGGTGGTGCATGACAGAGACGCACACCTGCTCCCTCCAAGCAGACCTTCCATAGGACAGGGGGCCCGACCTTCCATAGGACAGGGGACCCAACCTTCCATAGGACAGGGGGCCCGACCTTCCATAGGACAGGGGACCCAACCTTCCATAGGACAGGGGGCCCGACCTTCCATAGGACAGGGGGCCCGACCTTCCATAGGACAGGGGTCCTAACCTACCATAAGACGGGGGGTCAGACCTACCATAGGATGGGGGGCCCGACTTTCCATAGGATGGGGAGTCAGACCTTCCATAGAACGGGGGGGTCAGACCTACCATAGGACAGGGGGGCCCAACCTACCATAGGACAGGGTCCCGCCCTTCCATAGGATGGGGGGCCTGACCTTCCATAGGACGGGGGGGTCAGACTTTCCATAGAATGGGGGGGTCAGACCTACCATAGGACAGGGGTCCCGACCTTCCATAGGACAGGGTCCCGCCCTTCCATAGAACAGGGGGGCCTGACCTTCCATAGGACAGGGTCCCACCCTTCCATAGAACAGGGAGGCCTGACCTTCCATAGGACAGTGGGGCTCGACCTTCCATAGGACGGGGGATCCCGACCTTCCATAGGACGGGGAGTCAGACCTTCCATAGGACAGGGTCCCGACCTTCCATAGGACAGGGTCCTGACCTTCCATAGGACAGGGGGGCCCGAACTTCTATAGGACAGGGGGCCTGACATTCCATAGGACGGGGGGTCCCGACCTTCCATAGGACGGGGGGCCTGACCTTCCATAGGATCCCGACCTTCCATAGGATGGGGGGCCTGACCTTCCATAGGACAGGGGGGCCCAACCTTCTATAGGATGGGGGGCCCGACCTACCATAGAACAGGGGGTCCCGGGGTGGCTTTCTCGTGACGAGGACTCGGGCCACCAGGGCCACCAGAAGCAAGATGAGGGCAGCGACCCCTACGATTGTCCAGGAGCTGTGAGGACCAGAGCAGGAGGTGACCACTCACCACACACACACACACACCACCAGAGCAGCAGGTGACCACTCACCACACACACACACCACCAGAGCAGCAGGTGACCACTCACCACACACACACACCAGAGCAGCAGGTGACCACTCACCACACACACACACACACACCAGAGCAGCAGGTGACCACTCACCACACACACACACCAGAGCAGCAGGTGACCACTCACCACACACACACCACCAGAGCAGCAGGTGACCACACACACACACCACCAGAGCAGCAGGTGACCACTCACCACACACACACACCACCAGAGCAGCAGGTGACCACTCACCACACACCACCAGAGCAGCAGGTGACCACTCACCACACACACACACACCACCAGAGCAGCAGGTGACCACTCACCACACACACACACCACCAGAGCAGCAGGTGACCACTCACCACACACACACACCAGAGCAGCAGGTGACCACTCACCACACACACACACACACACCAGAGCAGCAGGTGACCACTCACCACACACACACACCAGAGCAGCAGGTGACCACTCACCACACACACACCACCAGAGCAGCAGGTGACCACACACACACACCACCAGAGCAGCAGGTGACCACTCACCACACACCACCAGAGCAGCAGGTGACCACTCACCACACACCACCAGAGCAGCAGGTGACCACTCACCACACACACACACACCACCAGAGCAGCAGGTGACCACTCACCACACACACACCACCACCAGAGCAGCAGGTGACCACTCACCACACACACACACACCACCAGAGCAGCAGGTGACCACTCACCACACACACACACACCACCAGAGCAGCAGGTGACCACTCACCACACACACACACACCACCAGAGCAGCAGGTGACCACTCACCACACACACACACACCACCAGAGCAGCAGGTGACCACTCACCACACACCACCAGAGCAGCAGGTGACCACTCACCACACACCACCAGAGCAGCAGGTGACCACTCACCACACACACACACCAGAGCAGCAGGTGACCACTCACCACACACACACACACACACCAGAGCAGCAGGTGACCACTCACCACACACACACACCAGAGCAGCAGGTGACCACTCACCACACACACACCACCAGAGCAGCAGGTGACCACACACACACACCACCAGAGCAGCAGGTGACCACTCACCACACACCACCAGAGCAGCAGGTGACCACTCACCACACACCACCAGAGCAGCAGGTGACCACTCACCACACACACACACACCACCAGAGCAGCAGGTGACCACTCACCACACACACACCACCACCAGAGCAGCAGGTGACCACTCACCACACACACACACACCACCAGAGCAGCAGGTGACCACTCACCACACACACACACACCACCAGAGCAGCAGGTGACCACTCACCACACACACACACACCACCAGAGCAGCAGGTGACCACTCACCACACACACACACACCACCAGAGCAGCAGGTGACCACTCACCACACACCACCAGAGCAGCAGGTGACCACTCACCACACACCACCAGAGCAGCAGGTGACCACTCACCACACACACACACCAGAGCAGCAGGTGACCACTCACCACACACACACACACCACCAGAGCAGCAGGTGACCACTCACCACACACACACACACCACCAGAGCAGCAGGTGACCACTCACCACACACACACACCACCAGAGCAGCAGGTGACCACTCACCACACACACACCACCAGAGCAGCAGGTGACCATTCACCACACACACACACCAGAGCAGCAGGTGACCACACACCACACACACACACACCACCAGAGCAGCAGGTGACCACTCACCACACACACACCACCACCAGAGCAGCAGGTGACCACTCACCACACACCACCAGAGCAGCAGGTGACCACTCACCACACACACACCACCAGAGCAGCAGGTGACCATTCACCACACACACACACCCCCAGAGCAGCAGGTGACCACTCACCACACACACACACCACCACCAGAGCAGCAGGTGACCACTCACCACACACACACACCACCAGAGCAGGTGACCACTCACCACACACACACCACCACCAGAGCAGCAGGTGACCACTCACCACACACACACCACCAGAGCAGCAGGTGACCACTCACCACACACACACACCACCAGAGCAGCAGGTGACCACTCACCACACACCACCAGAGCAGCAGGTGACCACTCACCACACACACACCACCACCAGAGCAGCAGGTGACCACTCACCACACACACACACCACCAGAGCAGCAGGTGACCACTCACCACACACACACCACCAGAGCAGCAGGTGACCACTCACCACACACACACACACACCACCAGAGCAGCAGGTGACCACTCACCACACACACACCACCAGAGCAGCAGGTGACCACTCACCACACACACACACACACCACCAGAGCAGCAGGTGACCACTCACCACACACACACACACACCACCAGAGCAGCAGGTGACCACTCACCACACACACACACACCACCAGAGCAGCAGGTGACCACTCACCACACACACACACCCAACGGGGCCTGGAGCATGCTTGTTTCCAAGCTATGTGATCCCCAGGAAGCGCCGCCTCTGCCACAGCTCCACAGCCAGCCCCGCCCTCGGTGCAGCTCATGAGGCTTGTCTAGCGCTCCCAGACCTTGCTAGGACACAGCCTGTGGCTTGGGGCCTCAAGGCCCAGAGCCTCATTCTTCATTCCTCTTGGCTTGTGCTCCTTCATTAAGGACCCCGTGTCTCCCAGCTGGGTCCCGAGCGGCCCCTGTCCCGCCCACCCTGACCCTAATATAGCTCCTGCCTGGCTCCCTCCACCCAGCTGTCGGGCAGTTCACAGCCGGCACAGGGCATCAGGGGGCTGGGGGTGGGGACGCAGCCCACTGCTGCCATGTCCCAGTGAGCACAGTGAGCAGCCAGGCCCTGTCTGCAGGGGGGGGGGGGACCATGTCCCAGTGAGCACAGTGAGCAGCCAGGCCCTGTCTGCAGGGGGGGGGACCATGTCCCAGTGAGCAGCCAGGCCCTGTCTGCGGGGAGACCATGTCCCAGTGAGCACAGTGAGCAGCCAGGCCCTGTCTGCAGGTGGGGGAGGGGGGGAACCATGTCCCAGTGAGCACAGTGAGCAGCCAGGCCCTGTCTGCAGGGGGGGGGGGGGAGGGACCATGTCCCAGTGAGCAGCCAGGCCCTGTCTGCGGGGGGACGTTCTCCTGCCCAACAGATCACCTCCAGTTCCTAAGCTGCGTCCCCCTCCCATGCCTGGCACAAAGAGCCAGACAGACCTCCCCCGATGGCCTGGCACATGGGAACTTCCCCACCACAGCTCAGAGCTGCTGCAGGCCACACCCCAGGGCTGAACCCCACAGTCCACACACCCCCAGAACCGACCCCCACAGCCCACACCCTCCCCAGGCCTGACCCCCACTGCCCACACCCCCCTCTAGGACCAACCCCCACAGCCCACACCCCCCCAGGACCAACCCCCACAGCCCACACCCCCCCCAGGACCGACCCCCACAGCCCACACCTCCCCAGGACTGACCCCTATGCCGGACACGGGGACCTCAGGAAAACCTTGGCCATAGATATGCCCCGAGAGCCACAGAGGGAGAAGAGGGACGGATGGATGGATGCATGCGTGCATAAGCTGACAGGTGACTGAAGGATGCGGGTGGGCGGCAGGTGGGCCACACCTATGTGTGGATCCACACCCACATTCTAGACAGACCTGATGGGTGCGTGGATGGGTGGATCAGCCATTCATGATAAGGAAGAGGAGGGGTGAACAGTGTGCAGATGAAGGACTAAAGGACTCTCAGCCCCATTCTCCTCACATGCTGGAGGGCAAGCACTGGAGGGCGCGCCCGTGTGTGTCAGGATGTGGTGCTGGCCTGGGAGAGACTGCGTCTGCTGAAGGTGATCTCACGGTGAGCAGCTTGAGACAGGTGCTGGTGGGCAAGGCCCGGCCCCAGCCCCAGCCACAGGCCCAGCCCCAGCCCCAGCCCCAGCCCCAGCCGCAGCCCCAGCTCCAGCTCCAGCCCCAGCCCCAGCCCAGCCTCTGCCCCAGCCCCAGCCCAGCCTCTGCCCCAGCCCCAGCCCCAGCCCCAGCCCCAGCCCAGCCTCTGCCCCAGCCCCAGCCCCAGCCCAGCCTCTGCCCCAGCCCCAGCCCCAGCCCCAGCCCAGCCTCTGCCCCAGCCGCAGCCCCAGCCCCAGCCCCAGCCCCAGCCCCGGCCCCGGCCCCAGCCGCAGCCCCAGCCCCAGCCCAGCCTCTGCCCCAGCCCCAGCCCCAGCCCAGCCTCTGCCCCAGCCCCAGCCCCAGCCCCAGCCCAGCCTCTGCCCCAGCCCCAGCCCCAGCCCAGCCTCTGCCCCAGCCCCAGCCCAGCCCCAGCCCCAGCCCAGCCTCTGCCCCAGCCGCAGCCCCAGCCCAGCCTCTGCCCCAGCCGCAGCCCCAGCCTCTGCCCCAGCCCCAGCCCCAGCCCAGCCTCTGCCCCAGCCGCAGCCCCAGCCTCTGCCCCAGCCCCAGCCCAGCCTCTGCCCCAGCCCCAGCCCAGCCCCAGCCCCAGCCCCAGCCCAGCCCCAGCCCCAGCCCCAGCCCCAGCCCCAGCCCAGCCCCAGCCCCAGCCCAGCCTCTGCCCCAGCCCCAGCCCCAGCCCCAGCCCAGCCCCAGCCCCAGCCCCAGCCCAGCCCCAGCCCAGCCCCAGCCCCAGCCCCAGCCCAGCCCAGCCCCAGCCCCAGCCCCAGCCCCAGCCCCAGCCCAGCCCCAGCCCAGCCCCAGCCCCAGCCCCAGCCCAGCCCCAGCCCAGCCCCAGCCCCAGCCCCAGCCCCAGCCCAGCCCCAGCCCCAGCCCCAGCCCAGCCCCAGCCCCAGCCCCAGCCCCAGCCCAGCCCAGCCCCAGCCCCAGCCCAGCCCCAGCCCAGCCCCAGCCCCAGCCCAGCCCCAGCCCCAGCCCAGCCCCAGCCCCAGCCCCAGCCCCAGCCCCAGCCCCAGCCCAGCCCCAGCCCCAGCCCCAGCCCCAGCCCAGCCCAGCCCCAGCCCCAGCCCCAGCCCCAGCCCAGCCCAGCCCCAGCCCCAGCCCAGCCCCAGCCCAGCCCCAGCCCCAGCCCCAGCCCCAGCCCCAGCCCAGCCCCAGCCCCAGCCCCAGCCCCAGCCCAGCCCCAGCCCCAGCCCCAGCCCCAGCCCAGCCCCAGCCCCAGCCCCAGCCCCAGCCCAGCCCCAGCCCCAGCCCCAGCCCCAGCCCCAGCCCAGCCCAGCCCCAGCCCCAGCCCCAGCCCCAGCCCAGCCCCAGCCCCAGCCCCAGCCCCAGCACCGGGTGATGCTCTTGGGAGCAGGAGGAGGCCTGTGAACTGAAGTGGATTGTGGCATCCTCAGGAAGTAGGTCGGCAGATCACAGCTGCCTCCTGAAGGTCCCCAGGCCCCAGGGCTGTGCGAAGGGGACAGGAGGGGGAAGGGCCGGGCGCCGGGGAGGGGACGGGAGGGAGGGAAGCTGGCGTGCGGGACAGCGGGAGCTCCTTCCTTCCCAGCTGTCCTCCCTTCCTCCAGCCAGGTCCACCTCTGCCGCCCTGCGCCCCGCAGCCGTCTTCCAGCCGTGGGGACGGCCGCCCCGCGGCCCGTCTTCCAGCCGTGGGGACGGTCGCCCCGCAGCCCGGGACGTGGGGACGGCCGCCCTGCACCCCGCAGCCCGTCTTCCAGCCGTGGGGACGGTCGCCCCGCAGCCCGGACGCCCCGCGGCCCGGACGCCCCGCGGCCCGGGACGTGGGGACGGCCGCCCTGCACCCCGCAGCCCGTCTTCCAGCCGTGGGGACGGTCGCCCCGCAGCCCGGACGCCCCGCGGCCCGGACGCCCCGCGGCCCGGGACGTGGGGACGGCCGCCCTGCACCCCGCAGCCCGTCTTCCCTGTCTGTCAGGGACGGTTGCCCCGCGGCCCGTCTTCCCGCCTGCACTGCCCCCTGGCCCGCACCCCCCCCCTCCCGCCCGCGCTCCCCGGTGCCCGGCCCGCACCCCCCCCCCCCGCCGGCCCGTACCCCCCCCCCCCGCCCGGCTCGCACCCCCCCTCCCGCCCGCGCTCCCCGGTGCCCGGCCCGCACCCCCCCCCCCCGCCGGCCCGTACCCCCCCCCCCCGCCCGGCTCGCACCCCCCCTCCCGCCCGCGCTCCCCGGTGCCCGGCCCGCACCCCCCCCCCCGCCGGCCCATACCCCCCCCCCCGCCCGGCTCGCACCCCCCCTCCCGCCCGCGCTCCCCGGTGCCCGGCCCGCACCCCCCCCCCCGCCGGCCCGTACCCCCCCCCGCCCGGCTCGCACCCCCCCTGCCCGCGCTCCCCGGTGCCCGGCCCGCACCCCCCCCCCGCCGGCCCGTACCCCCCCCGCCCGGCTCGCACCCCCCCCCCGCCGGCCCGTACCCCCCCCCGCCCGGCCCGCACACCCCCCCCGCCGGCCCGTACCCCCCCCCCCCGCCCGGCTCGCACCCCCCCTCCCGCCCGCGCTCCCTGGTGCCCGGACCGCACTCCCCCCCCTCCCGCCCGCGCTCCCCGGTGCCCGGACCGCACTCACCCCCCGCCGGCCCGCACTCACCCCCCCCCGCCGGCCCGCACCCCCCCGCCGGCCCGCACTCACCCCCCCCCCCGCCGGCCCGCACTCACTCCCCCCCCCCCCCCGCCGGCCCGCACTCACCCCCCCCCCCCCCCCGCCGGCCCGCACTCACCCGTGCCCCGCCGGCCCGCACTCACCCCCCGCCGGCCCGCACTCACCCGTGCCCCGCCGGCCCGCACTCACCCCCCCCCCCCGCCGGCCCGCACTCACCCGTGCCCCGCCGGCCCGCACTCACCCCCCCCCCCCCCGCCGGCCCGCACTCACCCGTGCCCCGCCGGCCCGCACTCACCCCCCGCCGGCCCGCACTCACCCGTGCCCCGCCGGCCCGCACTCACCCCCCGCCGGCCCGCACTCACCCGTGCCCCGCCGGCCCGCACTCACCCCCCGCCGGCCCGCACTCACCTCCCCGCCGGCCCGCACTCACCCGTGCCCCGCCGCCAGGAGGTTGAAGACGGAGGTGACCGGGATGGCGGCGAGCGACAGCGCGAACACGCCGGTGGCGGCCGAGGCGCTCATCGCGCCCGCGCTGCCGGCTCCGCCCGGCCCGCGCCGCCCACCGGCCCGCGGGAACGGCCGCGCCCGGCGCTGCGGGGAGGCGGCGCGGAGCGGCGCGGGCCGGGCTTGATTGGGCGGAGGGCGGGGCGAGGGCCCGCGGGGAGGGGGGGAACCACAGGGCACGGGGAGACCGGAGACACAGTGGGGGGCAGTGGGGGGACTGGGGGACAGCGGGGGGGGGGGCTGGGGGACAGCAGGGGGGCAGTGGGGGGACTGGGGGACAGCGGGGGGGGGCAGTGGGGGGACTGGGGGACAGTGGGGGCCAGTGGGGGGACAGCGGGGGGCAGTGGGGGGACTGGGGGACAGCGGGGGGGGACTGGGGGACAGCAGGGGGGCAGTGGGGGGACTGGGGGACAGCGGGGGGGGCAGTGGGGGGACTGGGGGACAGTGGGGGCGTGGGGGGACTGGGGGACAGCGGGGGGCAGTGGGGGGACTGGGGGACAGCAGGGTGGGGGACTGGGGGACAGCGGGGGGCAGTGGGGGGACTGGGGGACAGCGGGGGGGCAGTGGGGGGACTGGGGGACAGTGGGGGCCAGTGGGGGGACTGGGGGACAGCGGGGGGCAGTGGGGGCACTGGGGGACAGTGTGGGGGCAGTGGGGGGACTGGGGGACAGCAGGGGGGCAGTGGGGGGACTGGGGGACAGCGGGGGGGGCAGTGGGGGGACTGGGGGACAGCGGGGGGGGCAGTGGGGGGACTGGGGGACAGTGTGGGGGGCAGTGGGGGGACTGGGGGACAGCGGGGGGGCAGTGGGGGGACTGGGGGACAGCAGGGGGGGCAGTGGGGGGACTGGGGGACAGTGTGGGGGGCAGTGGGGGGACTGCAGGGGAGACCAGACCAGGGGACGGCCGGGCACAGGGGAGACTGGGGACACAGTGGGGGACAGTGGGGGAGACCAGGGGATGGCAGGGCACAGGGGAGACCAGGGACACAGTGGGGGACAGTGGGGAGACCGGGGACACAGTGGGGGACAGTGGGGAGACCGGGGACACAGTGGGGGACAGCGGGGGGGACAGTGGGGGAGACCAGGGGACGGCAGGGCAGGGGAGACAGGACCGCCACCTGCCCGCCTGGACTGGGCCTGGCCACAGACTCCGCCGGCCCAGCGGCCCGTGCTGAGGGTGACTCTCAGATGTCAGGAAGCATGGGCTTGCCCTGTCCTTTAGGACATCCATCTCACAGGCTGAAGGCGGACACCATAGCTGCCTTCAACAGCGAACTCAACTCCAGGCCTCCCGGGGAAGCAGAGATGAGCATTTCCCGGTCAGCTGAGCCTGCCACGGGGTGGGCACTCCTGAGGCTGGGCCCGGCAGGCCTGCAGGAGGAAGCGGAACCTGGGGGAAGCAGGACGCTGGGTTTGGAGGAGGCAGCAGGGCGGAGGGAGGACAGCCCGCCGGCCTGGCAGGGTGAAGCAGAAGCAGGCCAGGCAGGCCAGCTCCCCCCCTCCCCCAGGGGGTGGGCTGCTGGGGGGAGGGAGGGCCCAGAGCAGGGTCCTCCAGCTCCTGGTGATCACGAGTAGGCTGAGGGGGTTTATGTAGATTGGGGGGGGCAGTAATGCTTCCGTGTCCCCCTTTTAACATGGGCCAGGCCTAGAATAGAGGTTCAACCGATATCAGCCACTGAGGAGAGGAGAGAGGAAAAAGGACATGGTGATGGGCTGAGGGGGACAAAACGTACTGCAGAGATAAAGGGTGACTCAGCTAGCCACTCAGGAGGCTGACATCCCCCCACGATTGTGGTTCAAAGCCAGCCCAGGCAGGGAAGTCCCTGAGACCCTTCTCTCCAGTTAACGTGGCTCAAGAGGACTAGCCTTGAGCTCGGGGACAATGCCCAGGCCCTGAGTTCAAGCCCCAGTACTGGCACACGTGCACGTGCACACACACACACACACACACCCAATGTAGAGATAGAAAGAGAATAAAGTGAAGTGTTAGTATGTAAAATAGTTTTCAAAGGTTCTGTGCAGCTGCCAAGGAAGGAGATCTGCAGTTTTGTCCTGGTTCTTAGTAACCAAAGTGCAAAGGGAAACAGAATCATTATGACATTCAGTGTCCCTGAGATAAACTACAGAACCCTTAAAACTGAGGGGGTGGGGGGGCTTTGTCTTCCCTTAAAGGGAACATGTATCATATCATCATTCCCTAGCTATTCCTGCAGTAAATATAAATCAAATGCCAGCGCTGTCCTTCAGTGCCAGGCAGGTGACTGGCATGTTTGCAGACCCACCCAGCATTCCCAAATGTTCCGTTGCATGGTGGTAAGACATGCAAGAAGCATGGCTAAAAACAGGAGCCAGGCACTGGTGGCTCACTCCTGTAATCCTAGCTACTCAGGAGGCTAAGATCTGAGGATATTGGTTCAAAGCCAGCCCGGGCAGGAAAGTCTGTGAGATTCTTTTTTTTTTGGGTCTGGGCGCTGTCCCTCAGCTCTTCAGCTCAAGGCTAGCGCTCTACCACTTGAGCCACAGAGCCACTTCCAGCTTTTTTCTTTTTGTTTATATGGTGCTGAGGAATCGAACCCAGGGCCTCAGGCATGCAAGGCAAGCGCTCTACCACTGAGCCACCTTCCCAGCCCCTCTGTGAGACTCTTATCTCCAATAAACCACTCGAAAACTGGAAGTGGCGCTGTGACTCACGTGGTAGAGCCCTCACCTAGAGCTGAAGAGCTGAGGGACAGCGCCCAGGCCCAGAATTCAAGCACCATGACCAGCAAAAAAAAAAAAAACAGGAGTATGATTCAAGTAATAGAGTGCCAGCCTTGAGAAAAAAAACAGCCAGAGCACAAAGCCCTGAGTTGCAGGCCTCCGTACCAACACAAAAATTAAAAAGAAACAGCTTTGAATTTTGTTCTGAAGATCGTGGCACCTGTTCCCGGGCCCCAGCGAGGCATGCGGGCCCCACTCTGTGCTTGACCGCATGGCCCCCATTTCCTGTTGCTACCAGCGTGAGCTGAGGCTCCTCAGAGTGGACACGTTCCTTCTTGGAACCCAACTGCGAGAAGCTCGAAGCCAGCACCGGGAACACCAGGCCCCCGCTGATGGCTGCCCTGCCCTGCCAGTCCATCACCAGAGGTCATTCTAGGCCCTCCAGCACCTAGCACCAACAGCACACGGGCAAAACCGCCTTGTCGTGAGGATCACGAGAGCAGTAAGTTGATGATGTTTTAAGCCACTACATTGTGAAGGGGTTTTCATGCGTCAGTGGAGTCAGTGGATGGCTGACATGGAGAACGCCGTGATAAGAACCCCTGGATCAAGGAGCGGGTGAGGATACGTGAAGAGCCATGTGAGCTGTGACTCGGGGAAACCGAGGCCTCCACATCCCAGGCTGGTCAGAAGCCTGGCCTTCCAAGTGGAGGAGCTACACAGAAAGTGTCTGAGGAGGGGTACAGGCCCCCAAAGGGACCCCTGCAGTCCAACCCCTCCACATAAAGCCCACCCGGCCCACTGTGGGGATGGGAACCCCGCTGCTTGCTTCTGGTCCAGGTACTCTAAAACGACATCTACCTTTTGATAGACCCCGGCTGCTTTCACAGATGCTCAAACCTGTAGACGAGTGTCAGCCTAGAACAGCCAACTGCGGGGACGCTGGCCAGCAGCCTCACCACCACCTCCCCTCCGCAGGAAGCCAAGGATTGCCAAATGTGAGAAGAACCCAACTGTCAGCTGCTTGTGTTCCTCCAGCCTCTCCTGAAGTGCTCAGCTGCAGAAGTGGAGAGCCACAGAAGGCGGTTAACGTGACTGCAGCGGCGTGCTTACAAAACGAGGACCCAAGGAACAGAGAAGAGCTGCGGAGGGCAGTGCTTCAGAGGATGGCGGGAATGGCAAAGGGCCAATGTAGAGGCCTAGACCGTGGCGGGAGCCTCTGTGGGTCCCTCAGCCAGTGTTGGGGGAGGGGGCTCTTTGGTATTTTCTGTGTGAGGGCATCGTCACGTTACTCACCCACTAGCTTACCGCTTCCTTGTCTCCAGTGTGGGCAAAAATGGCCTTAAATGTGGGAAGTAGAAATAAGTTGGTAAGAACATAACTTGTGTATTTGATCCGGCCCTCTGAATGCTGGAGCTCTAACTAAACCCTTCACCTAACAGTCAAATTAAAATGCACCTATCCAATAGGCATCTATTAAGTGTGCATCCCATGCTATCTCCTGTATTAGCCGCTATGGTTATTGGGGGGGGGCAGCGGCGCTTTGAGCTGGGGACAGTGGCTCATGCCTAATTTAATACTAGCTGCTTAGGAAGTAGAGGAAGGGAAGGTTGTGGTTTGGGCTAGGCAGGACAGGAAGTTTATGAGATGCCATCTCAACCAACAGTTGTCCTGGGGGCATATATTAACCATCCCAGATTATGGCAGAAAGTGTAAATAGGAGACTGCAATCCAGGAAGGCCCAGGCAACAAGCAAACTCATCTCAAAAATAAGCAGAGCAAGCCAGGCTCACGCCTATAATCCTAGCTACTCTGGAGGCTGAGATTTGAGGATTACAGTTTGAAGCCAGCCCAGGCAGACTCTTATCTCCAATTAGCCCTCAGAAAAACCAGAAGTGGCACAGTGACTCAAAGAGGTAGAGAGCTAGCCTTGAGCAAAAAGCTCAAGGACAGCACCCAGGCTCTAACTTCAAGCCCTAGAATGACTAAATAAATAAAATCACAACAAAGAAAATAGAAGACCACAGGGGATGATGAACTCAAGGACAAAGGTGGGAAGCGACTTTGTGAGGCTGGCAGGAAAGGGGCCAGCAGACCTAGTGGAGAGGTGGACAGATGGAGTTTCTGTTAGCTGGGAAATAAGCAGAGATGGACAAAGTTCCATGGACTGTGTTCACGTGATCCGCCTGGTCTGGTCCCTCTCTGTTGCCCTGAAACTAGAGGCGGCATGTTCCGGAGTGGTGTGCTCTGAGAGCCCAGCTGCCTCTGCATTTCATTTCTGTCCATGGATGCTTTTTTGTGGAAGGTCGTGTTTCTGTCACTGCAGAATTACAGGACAGTGTTTGTCACCTGCTGCTTCTCTGCTTAGGAAACACATGAAAGAATATCTCTTGACAAAAGGGCCTGTGTTTGGGCAGGTGGACGTATGATTGGGTAGCACAGGGGATGACAATGAAGTTTCCTTCTCAGATTCCCCTCAGTGACGGAGGAAAAGTTCAAGTCAGCAAAGTCTCGAGCCCATTTAAAAAAAGGAAGAAAAAAGGAAGCCTGAGAGAAGGGCCCGCGTATGCAAGGCAATATTCAGAAGAACAAACAAGTGGAGGTCCTTGGAGGAGTGGTGAGCCTGGCGGCCGTTAGACGCATTTCCAGTTCGTTTGTTCCCTCAGTGTCTGGCAGGTGGGCGGGTAGCCAGTGCTTCAAAGTGAGGCTGTCTCATGTGCCAGAAGACCCGTCCCAGATCCCACCTTCCTCCTCCAGCTAATCTCTGCTGCTAGTACCGGGACCCGGGACCTGGCCGTGCCCAGGCTGTGTGCCAGCCCCTGGGTGCACGCAGGCTGCCCGTGGCTGACAGGCAGCTGTCCCTGTCCCTGTCTCCTGCTATCCATAGCTGACCTCTGTGGAAGGGGCAACCTGTGGCCCAGTTTTCTTCCACTTGGTCGGAGCCTGAGGCTGCCCTCCAGCTGGCCCAGCCTCAGCCTGCCTTCCACTGACTCCACCAGTTCCCTGAATCATGGCCACCATGTCCATCTGGCCCCTGGCCAAGAGGCCTGAGCACTGCAGACTGACCGACTCTTGTTGTGCCATCCTGGGGTCTAAGAGGCTCACAAGTGAGTGCCGCATTTTCTCCCAGGTCTCCCTCATTAGATGCCAGCTGCCCAACGCCCACCCTTCCTCCTGGCTCCGGGACAACTCCTCCTTTAACACTGGCTCTTTCCATTTCACCTCTCCCTTCCTCCCAGGAGCTCCGCCCCTGGGCCCCAGGCTTAATCCAGCCCTGGGGTGGAGGGTATTCTTTCCCGTGCTTACCAGTCTCTGCAGTCTTCCGACCTTAGCTTCTATTAATACCTAGGATACTCACCCTTTCACAAGGATGGTAATCCAGTACCTGCTGTGTGTCCGTGTGCTCTTCAAATACAAAAATCGTGAGGGTTTAGTGGCTGCCTTTTGTGCTTTTTGAATGTCTTCCCTCTCTTGGCATTCACTAGCTCCCTAAATTAGACCTCTCCTTCTTCTCTCCTGACTGCTTTTTCTAGAGTTCCACTAAAACATTTTTTTATTTATTTTTGGCCAGTAGACCCTTTTCTTCCAAGTTCTCTCATTTGTTCTAATTATAAACTAGCACACTTGGTGACATACAGAACTTTCCCTAGGCTGGATTCCAGAAAGCGGTGGCAAGCAAAGGAAGGAGGGCATCACAGAAGCTGGATTTAGTCTAGGGTACAGCAAATTGCCTTTGCTGCTGCATTTTAAAAATCAGCAGGCAGCAGATTCAGTTTTATTTTGAGCTGAGCAGGCCCCAGTAGGCTCCCGGCTGCTGAATGATCACATTCTTCGGGGAGAGTAACAGGCTGTGGTCCTGGGTGTCTTGTCATGTGTCAAAATCAACTCAAGCTGGGTGCTCCTTACTCCTGTAATCCTGGCTACGAAGGAGGAGATAGGAGGATCTTGGTTTGAAACCAGCCTAGAAAAATCTTCAGGGATGACATGGGTCATCTTTAGGAAGTGTAAGTAGGATCTAGGTACAGATCATCTGGGACACACAAAATGAGAGAGCCTATTTGAAAAATAGCTAAAGCAAAGTATTGGAAGCGTGACTCAACTGGCAGAGCACCGCCTAATAAGCACAAACCCCTGAGTTCAAACCCCAGTACTGTTGTGCCCCGGTCACAGGACCCTCACCAAGAAGACCACTGAGAGTCAGACCTTCCGAAATGCAAAAGCAAGGCTTTATTCAAGCGGGCTGCAGCTCAGGCCTCATCCCACACAGCGACACAGCGGAGGTTAGGAGGAAGGCCCCAAGCTGAAATTTCACAGGGCTTATAAAGGCAAAAACCACAAAGTTACAGCAACCAGATGTGTTAACAAGACACTCTAGGGCGGTAAAGGGTGATAGGGAGTTATTAGACCATCTGGGCCAGGGCAGTAAAGGGCAGTAGGGGGTATCTGAGAAGTGAGGGGTTTGTGGCCACAGATAACTGTCCTTGGGATTTATGTGAACTTGGGTTAACTTCAACACAGACAGGTCAGTTCCTGGAATTTGTTTGCTCTGGGTCACTCATAATTTAACATAAATGACAGAATGGCTGCTGCCTCAAGATGGAGTTACTTCAATTCTTCTGTACCACCACCAGATTGCTTTGTTTTTTAAAGTCCAGCTTCATCAGGAAGGACCGGTGGCTCGCGCCTGTCATCCTAGCTACTCAGATGTAATAGTCTCGCGGCCTTTCCTGCCCCGGCTGAACTGCGATCCTCAGCTCTCAGACTCCTGAGTAGCTAGGCTGGAACTACTCTCAGTACTCCTAGAGTGTAAGCCAATTTACCTTACGCCTTCCCGCGCTTCCTGCAGGTGGGCAGAAGCCCTTGGCCACTGCGGTCAGATGGCTGAGGGCTTTTGGCTCTTCCTACAAAAGGAGCAAACGCTTCTACCCAAGAAGTTAAGCTGGAGAAGAGGGCGGAGGGGGGAAGAGGGCGGGGGTCCGGAGGGGGGGGGACGAGGCAGGGAAAGGGGGGCAGGGGCAGGAGAGAGGGGTGGGGGGAGAGGAGGGCAAGAGGGAGGAGAGGGGGAGTGGGGGGGAGGGGCAGAGCCGGGGAGGGGGGTCAGAGGCGGGGCAAGGGGGAGGGGAGGGGTCAGAAGCGGGGGGGGGGGGGGCAAGGGGAGGGGTCAGGGACGGGGGAGGGGCAGGGGTCGGGGCCGGGGCTCTCCGGGCCACGGGGGTCCCCACGGCCCCCGGGCGCAGCCCCGGGGCCCCTCCCCGGGCGGCGCCGCGCCTCCGGGCTCGGGTGGGGGCGCGCGGGACGGCCGGGGACGCGGCGGCGCGCCTGCGCGGGCGGGGGAGGAGGGCGGCGCGGGGGCGCGCGCGCAGGGCCGGGCGCGCGCGCGGCCGCCGGACACGCCTCTTCCGGAAGGCGGGAGGGGGCGGCGGCGCCGGCCTCCGCGGACGGCCGGGCGATGGCGGCGCGGCGGCGGGCGCTCGCTCCCTGAGCCCGGGGCCCGCACGGCGCACCATGGCCTCGCTGGGGCCGGCGGCCGCGGCGGAGCAGGCGCCGGGGGCCGAGGCGGAGCCGGGCCCGCCGCCGGCGCCGCCCGGGGCGCTGCTGCCGCTGGCGCGGGAGCCGCTCTACAACTGGCAGGCGACCAAGGCGTCGCTGCGGGAGCGCTTCGCCTTCCTCTTCAACTCGGAGCTGCTCAGCGACGTGCGCTTCGTGCTGGGCAAGGCCCGCGCCGCCGCCGGCGCCGCGCCGCGCGCGCCCGCGCAGCGCATCCCCGCGCACCGCTTCGTGCTGGCGGCCGGCAGCGCCGTCTTCGACGCCATGTTCAACGGCGGCATGGCCACCACGTCGGCGGAGATCGAGCTGCCGGACGTGGAGCCCGCGGCGTTCCTCGCGCTGCTGCGGTGAGCGCGGGCGGGGGGCGGGGCCTGCCGGCCGGGGGCGGGGCCGGCGGCCAGGGGCGGGGCCTGCCGACCGGGGCGGGGCCGGCGGGGGCTGCCGGCCGGGGGCGGGGCCTGCCGGCCGGGGGCGGGGCCTGCCGGCCGGGGGCGGGGCCTGCCGGCCGGGGGCGGGGCCTGCAGGGGGCGAGGCCGGCAGGGCCGGGGCCGGGCGGGGCGACCCGCTGACCCCGCGCCCGCCGCGCGCCCCGCCGGCGTTAACGGGCCGCGGCCCCCGCGCGAGCGCTCGGGTGGGGCTTCGCGGCGCCCCGCGCCTTTGTCGGGTGTAACGCCTTTTTGTCCGGGTCGGGGCGGGGCGTTGACGGGGTCGGAGCCGCGAGAAGGCGGGTGGAGCCTGGAGCCGTCCGCGGGGAGGTCACGGGGGCGCGCGTGCACGCGCACACGAGGCTCACACGCGCACGCGCTCTGCCCGGGCAGCGCCGGCGCCCGCTCGTGAGTGGACCCGACCTCCTCCTCCTCCTCCTCCTCACCTCCTCCTCCTGCCCGCCCCCCTCATCTCCTCCTCCTCCTCCTCCTCACCTCCTCCTCCTGCCCGCCCCCCTCACCTCCTCCGCCTGCCCCGCCCCCCTCACCTCCTCCGCCTGCCCCGCCCCCCTCACCTCCTCCGCCTGCCCCGCCCCCCCTCACCTCCTCCGCCTGCCCCGCCCCCCCTCACCTCCTCCTCCTGCCCGCCCCCCTCACCTCCTCCTCCTCCTCCTCCTCACCTCCTCCTCCTGCCCGCCCCCCTCACCTCCTCCGCCTGCCCCCGCCCCCCTCACCTCCTCCGCCTGCCCCGCCCCCCTCACCTCCTCCTCCTGCCCCGCCCCCCCTCACCTCCTCCGCCTGCCCCGCCCCCCTCACCTCCTCCTCCTCCTCCTCCTCACCTCCTCCTCCTGCCCGCCCCCCTCACCTCCTCCTCCTCCTCCTCCTCACCTCCTCCTCCTGCCCGCCCCCCTCACCTCCTCCGCCTGCCCCGCCCCCCTCACCTCCTCCGCCTGCCCCGCCCCCCTCACCTCCTCCTCCTGCCCCGCCCCCCCTCACCTCCTCCGCCTGCCCCGCCCCCCTCACCTCCTCCTCCTGCCCCGCCCCCCCTCACCTCCTCCGCCTGCCCCGCCCCCCTCACCTCCTCCTCCTGCCCGCCCCCCTCACCTCCTCCTCCTGCCCCGCCCCCCCTCACCTCCTCCGCCTGCCCCGCCCCCCTCACCTCCTCCTCCTGCCCCGCCCCCCCCTCACCTCCTCCGCCTGCCCCGCCCCCCTCACCTCCTCCTCCTGCCCGCCCCCCCTCACCTCCTCCTCCTGCCCCGCCCCCCCTCACCTCCTCCTCCTGCCCCGCCCCCCCTCACCTCCTCCGCCTGCCCCGCCCCCCTCACCTCCTCCTCCTCCTCCTCCTCACCTCCTCCTCCTGCCCGCCCCCTCACCTCCTCCTCCTCCTCCTCCTCACCTCCTCCTCCTGCCCCGCCCCCCTCACCTCCTCCTCCTCCTCCTCCTCCTCACCTCCTCCTCCTGCCCGCCCCCTCATCTCCTCCTCCTCCTCCTCACCTTCTCCTCCTGCCCCGCCCCCCTCACCTCCTCCGCCTGCCCCGCCCCCCTCACCTCCTCCTCCTCCTCCTCCTCCTCACCTCCTCCTCCTGCCCGCCCCCTCATCTCCTCCTCCTCCTCCTCACCTCCTCCTCCTGCCCCGCCCCCCTCACCTCCTCCTCCTGCCCCGCCCCCCTCACCTCCTCCTCCTGCCCCGCCCCCCTCAGCTCCTCCTCCTCCTCCTCCTCACCTCCTCCTGCCCGCCCCCTCACCTCCTCCTCCTCCTCCTCCTCACCTCCTCCTCCTGCCCCGCCCCCCCTCACCTCCTCCGCCTGCCCCGCCCCCCTCACCTCCTCCTCCTCCTCCTCCTCACCTCCTCCTCCTGCCCGCCCCCTCACCTCCTCCTCCTCCTCCTCCTCACCTCCTCCTCCTGCCCGCCCCCCTCATCTCCTCCTCCTCCTCCTCACCTTCTCCTCCTGCCCCGCCCCCCTCACCTCCTCCGCCTGCCCCGCCCCCCTCACCTCCTCCTCCTCCTCCTCCTCCTCACCTCCTCCTCCTGCCCGCCCCCTCATCTCCTCCTCCTCCTCCTCACCTCCTCCTCCTGCCCCGCCCCCCTCACCTCCTCCTCCTGCCCCGCCCCCCTCACCTCCTCCTCCTCCTCCTCCTCACCTCCTCCTCCTGCCCGCCCCCCCTCACCTCCTCCTCCTGCCCCGCCCCCCTCACCTCCTCCGCCTGCCCCGCCCCCCTCACCTCCTCCTCCTCCTCCTCCTCACCTCCTCCTCCTGCCCGCCCCCCTCACCTCCTCCTCCTCCTCCTCCTCACCTCCTCCTCCTGCCCGCCCCCTCATCTCCTCCTCCTCCTCCTCACCTCCTCCTCCTGCCCGCCCCCCTCATCTCCTCCTCCTCCTCCTCACCTCCTCCTCCTGCCCCGCCCCCCTCACCTCCTCCTCCTCCTCCTCCTCACCTCCTCCTCCTGCCCGCCCCCTCATCTCCTCCTCCTCCTCCTCACCTCCTCCTCCTGCCCCGCCCCCCACAGCTCCTCCTCCTGCCCCGCCCCCCTCACCTCCTCCTGCCCCGCCCCCCTCACCTCCTCCTCCTGCCCCGCCCCCCTCACCTCCTCCTGCCCCGCCCCCCTCACCTCCTCCTCCTGCCCCGCCCTCCTCACCTCCTCCTCCTGCCCCGCCCCCCTCACCTCCTCCTCCTGCCCCGCCCCCCTCACCTCCTCCTGCCCGCCCCCCCTCACCTCCTCCTCCTGCCCCGCCCCCCTCACCTCCTCCTCCTCCTCCTCCTCACCTCCTCCTCCTGCCCCGCCCCCCTCACCTCCTCCTCCTGCCCTCCTCACCTCCTCCTCCTGCCCCGCCCCCCTCACCTCCTCCTCCTGCCCCGCCCCCCTCACCTCCTCCGCCTGCCCCGCCCCCCTCACCTCCTCCTCCTGCCCGCCCCCCTCACCTCCTCCTCCTGCCCGCCCCCCCTCACCTCCTCCTCCTGCCCGCCCCCCTCACCTCCTCCTCCTGCCCCGCCCCCCTCACCTCCTCCTCCTGCCCGCCCCCCTCACCTCCTCCTCCTGCCCCGCCCCCCCACACAGCTCCTCCTCCTGCCCCGCCCCCCCACACAGCTCCTCCTCCTGCCCCGCCCCCCTCACCTCCTCCTGCCCCGCCCCCCTCACCTCCTCCTCCTGCCCGCCCCCTCACCTCCTCCTCCTGCCCCGCCCTCCTCACCTCCTCCTCCTGCCCCGCCCCCCTCACCTCCTCCTCCTGCCCCGCCCCCCTCAGCTCCTCCTCCTGCCCTCCTCACCTCCTCCTCTTGCCCCGCCCCCCTCACCTCCTCCTCCTGCCCCGCCCCCCCTCACCTCCTCCTCCTGCCCCGCCCCCCTCACCTCCTCCTGCCCCGCCCCCCTCACCTCCTCCTCCTGCCCCGCCCCCCTCACCTCCTCCTCCTGCCCGCCCCCCCACACAGCTCCTCCTCCTGCCCCGCCCCCCTCACCTCCTCCTGCCCCGCCCCCCCTCACCTCCTCCTCCTGCCCGCCCCCCTCACCTCCTCCTCCTGCCCCGCCCTCCTCACCTCCTCCTCCTGCCCCGCCCCCCTCACCTCCTCCTCCTGCCCTCCTCACCTCCTCCTCCTGCCCGCCCCCTCACCTCCTCCTCCTGCCCTCCTCACCTCCTCCTCCTGCCCCGCCCCCCTCACCTCCTCCTCCTGCCCGCCCCCCCCTCACCTCCTCCTCCTGCCCGCCCCCCTCACCTCCTCCTCCTGCCCGCCCCCCTCACCTCCTCCTCCTGCCCGCCCCCCTCACCTCCTCCTCCTGCCCCGCCCCCTCACCTCCTCCTCCTGCCCCGCCCCCCTCAGCTCCTCCTCCTGCCCTCCTCACCTCCTCCTCTTGCCCCGCCCCCCTCACCTCCTCCTCCTGCCCCGCCCCCCCTCACCTCCTCCTCCTGCCCCGCCCCCCTCACCTCCTCCTGCCCCGCCCCCCTCACCTCCTCCTCCTGCCCCGCCCCCCTCACCTCCTCCTCCTGCCCGCCCCCCCACACAGCTCCTCCTCCTGCCCCGCCCCCCTCACCTCCTCCTGCCCCGCCCCCCTCACCTCCTCCTCCTGCCCGCCCCCCTCACCTCCTCCTCCTGCCCCGCCCCCCTCACCTCCTCCTCCTGCCCGCCCCCCTCACCTCCTCCTCCTGCCCGCCCCCCCACAGAGCTCCTCCTCCTGCCCCGCCCCCCTCACCTCCTCCTGCCCCGCCCCCCTCACCTCCTCCTCCTGCCCGCCCCCCTCACCTCCTCCTCCTGCCCCGCCCTCCTCACCTCCTCCTCCTGCCCCGCCCCCCTCACCTCCTCCTCCTGCCCTCCTCACCTCCTCCTCCTGCCCCCCTCACCTCCTCCTCCTGCCCCGCCCCCCTCACCTCCTCCTCCTGCCCGCCCCCCCACACAGCTCCTCCTCCTGCCCCGCCCCCCTCACCTCCTCCTGCCCCGCCCCCCTCACCTCCTCCTCCTGCCCGCCCCCCTCACCTCCTCCTCCTGCCCCGCCCCCCTCACCTCCTCCTCCTGCCCGCCCCCCTCACCTCCTCCTCCTGCCCGCCCCCCCACAGAGCTCCTCCTCCTGCCCCGCCCCCCTCACCTCCTCCTGCCCCGCCCCCCTCACCTCCTCCTCCTGCCCGCCCCCCTCACCTCCTCCTCCTGCCCCGCCCCCCTCACCTCCTCCTCCTGCCCGCCCCCCCTCACCTCCTCCTCCTGCCCGCCCCCCTCACCTCCTCCTCCTGCCACGCCCCCCTCACCTCCTCCTGCCCCGCCCCCCTCACCTCCTCCTCCTGCCCCGCCCCCCTCACCTCCTCCTCCTGCCCCCCCCCCCCTCACCTCCTCCTCCTGCCCGCCCCCCCTCACCTCCTCCTCCTGCCCGCCCCCCCTCACCTCCTCCTCCTGCCCCGCCCCCCTCACCTCCTCCTCCTGCCCCGCCCCCCTCACCTCCTCCTCCTGCCCCGCCCCCCTCACCTCCTCCTCCTGCCCCGCCCCCCTCACCTCCTCCTCCTGCCCCGCCCCCCTCACCTCCTCCTCCTGCCCCGCCCCCCTCACCTCCTCCTCCTGCCCCGCCCCCCTCACCTCCTCCTCCTGCCCTCCTCACCTCCTCCTCCTGCCCGCCCCCCCTCACCTCCTCCTCCTGCCCTCCTCACCTCCTCCTCCTGCCCGCCCCCCCTCACCTCCTCCTCCTGCCCCGCCCCCCCTCACCTCCTCCTCCTGCCCCGCCCCCCTCACCTCCTCCTCCTGCCCCGCCCCCCCTCACCTCCTCCTCCTGCCCCGCCCCCTCACCTCCTCCTCCTGCCCCGCCCCCCTCACCTCCTCCTCCTGCCCCGCCCCCTCACCTCCTCCTCCTGCCCTCCTCACCTCCTCCTCCTGCCCGCCCCCCCTCACCTCCTCCTCCTGCCCCGCCCCCTCACCTCCTCCTCCTGCCCTCCTCACCTCCTCCTCCTGCCCGCCCCCCCTCACCTCCTCCTCCTGCCCTCCTCACCTCCTCCTCCTGCCCGCCCCCCCTCACCTCCTCCTCCTGCCCTCCTCACCTCCTCCTCCTGCCCCGCCCCCCTCACCTCCTCCTCCTGCCCGCCCCCCCTCACCTCCTCCTCCTGCCCCGCCCCCTCACCTCCTCCTGCCCCGCCCCCCTCACCTCCTCCTCCTGCCCGCCCCCCTCACCTCCTCCTCCTGCCCCGCCCCCCTCACCTCCTCCTCCTGCCCCGCCCCCCTCACCTCCTCCTCCTGCCCCGCCCCCTCACCTCCTCCTGCCCCTCCTCACCTCCTCCTCCTGCCCGCCCCCCCTCACCTCCTCCTCCTGCCCGCCGCCCCCTCACCTCCTCCTCCTGCCCCGCCCCCCTCACCTCCTCCTCCTGCCCGCCCCCCTCACCTCCTCCTCCTGCCCGCCCCCCCTCACCTCCTCCTCCTGCCCCGCCCCCTCACCTCCTCCTCCTGCCCCGCCCCCCTCACCTCCTCCTCCTGCCCCGCCCCCCTCACCTCCTCCTCCTGCCCCGCCCCCTCACCTCCTCCTCCTGCCCGCCCCCCCTCACCTCCTCCTCCTGCCCCGCCCCCCTCACCTCCTCCTCCTGCCCCGCCCTCCTCACCTCCTCCTCCTGCCCCGCCCCCCTCACCTCCTCCTCCTGCCCCGCCCTCCTCACCTCCTCCTCCTGCCCCGCCCTCCTCACCTCCTCCTCCTGCCCGCCCCCCTCACCTCCTTCTCCTCCTGCCCTGCCCCCCTCACCTCCTCCTCCTGCCCTCCTCACCTCCTCCTCCTGCCCTGCCTGCCCTCCTCACCTCCTCCTCCTGCCCCGCCCTCCTCACCTCCTTCTCCTCCTGCCCCGCCCCCCCTCACCTCCTCCTCCTGCCCTCCTCACCTCCTCCTCCTGCCCTCCTCACCTCCTCCTCCTGCCCTGCCTGCCCTCCTCACCTCCTCCTCCTGCCCTCCTCACCTCCTCCTCCTGCCCTGCCTGCCCTCTACACCATTGCCTCCTCTACAGGCCACTGGCTGCTGGCCACAGGCTCAGACTCCACAGAACAGATCACTCCTACACCTAAGGCCTCTCCAGCCCCAGTTGCCCTCCCCCTCCCCCGGGTGTGGGTGGACCAGTGTCTTCGGGTGGTCTGTTTGGACCGGATGGCATCTGGGCTGCAGCCATCAGGAGATCTCCTAACCCTCTGTCCTCTGATCCCCTCACACGCCCTTTCTAGTCGGTCTCCTCAGCAGAGAGACGCAGTCCCAACAGAAAAGCAGGTGTTTCTCGGCATCCTTAAAGTTGGGCCTCAGACTAACACTATTACCCTACCACTTTAGATTGGTTGGAGGGAGTCACCAGGCTCAGATTCATGCCAGAACAAATCTATGTAAGCATACATCCTGGCAGCCATGATTTATTGGAGTACTTCTCAAAAGATTAGTTATGTATTACTGCCTAATGGCTACTTCTGTTAGCATTATGACAGTTTTAATCATTCTCAAACTAGGTGGGCTTTCTTTGTTGTTTTTGTTTTATTGTGCTCTTTTTAGGGTTTGAATGCAGAACCTGGGTGCCGTTCCTGAGCTTTTTTTTTTTTTTTTTTGCGCAAGGTTTCAAGGCTGGTGCTCTACCCTTGAGCCACAGCTCCACGTCTGACTTTTGGAAATTTATTGGAGATAGGAGTCTCATGAACTTTCCTGCCTAGGATAAAAAATTGGCATAGGGATTGTGTCTCGTGGTATTTAACTTTAGCTTTCTCTGTAAAATGGGACACTCCTCCTCAGGAGAGAGTAAGAACGGAGTGACCTGCACATGTCTCATAGGCTGCCAGATCTGATGCAAATTTCAGACTGTTTTTCAGTTTGTTATCTTAAAATAATCCTCCAAGGCTTGACTCTGATAGATTGCTTGCTGAAGTCTCTGCAAATTTCCAATTGCCTTCCAGATTTCTGTATTCAGATGAAGTTCAGATAGGCCCGGAAACAGTGATGACTACGCTGTACACTGCTAAGAAGTACGCCGTCCCAGCCTTGGAGGCGCACTGCGTGGAGTTTCTCACCAAGCACCTTAGGGCAGACAACGCCTTCATGTTGCTCACGCAGGTGAGTGGAGTTTCTCACCAGGCCTCTTAGGGCAGACAAGGCCTTCATGATGCTCACACAGGTGAGTGGAGACGCCTAATGTGGGTGGAGCTGTTCTTACAATATGCTCGGGAAAGTATGTCAGAAGAGAAGATTTTCAGTGGAAGTGCAGGTCAACGCAAGGCAGAGTTGTGGATACCCAGAGAGTGGAGCTGGGATGGGTCCGGGTTCTTTTATAACGAGAGAGTTGTTCTGTGAAGTTTCCCACGTTTTCAGCCTTTTTTCATTCTTAGTTGAGAATGCTTACTGTAGGTGTGAGGACTATGATGGTTTTTCATTTCTGGCTGTACAGTGCATACTGCAGATGTGTAAACTATGCTGATATTTAACAAACTGGAAATACCTGTGGAGACACCATTTTTTAACATGTTATTTAGCATTTGCTAAATGCCAGGATTTCATACTTGAGATACAGGTTGCTTCTCAGTTGTAGGATGCTGTACAGATTGTTCTTAAATTCTGAGTTGATAAACTGATCCTGCCTGATGTAGTGGGCACCTGAGTACCAGCACCTGTCAGGCTGAGGGTCTCCTGAGTCCGTTAAAGACCAGCGTGGGCAGCCACACAGGGAGACCTGTTTCAAGCAAAACAAATGTAATTCTCTTGAATTTTAGTATAGAAAATGATTGCTAAAGACTTCTAGTTCAATTCTCATTTTACAGATGGGAAGATGAAAACCTAGGCTGATAATGAGCTGTCTAAACTCTCACAGCAGGATGAAGCCAGGGCCCAGAGCTCACGTTCCTAGTTCAGTGTTCATGCAATCATATAGAAAACGTGAAAAAATCTATCTAACTGAGTATTTGTAGTTATAGGGAAAAGAAGATCCCTTGGACATTATTGCATAATTATGTCAGACACTAAGCTAATAGTGTAGCAAAATGCATTGTCTGTGTACTCAGTCCTTAGGAACGTGTTATGAAGTGTAGAGAGCTGTTTAGAGTAAAAGGCAGGCTGGCTCACTGTGACCGTGAAGACGTGGAAGCACAGACTCAGCTCCGTGGCTTGCGCCTGTAATCGCAGATGAGGCCAGACCTGGGGGGGGGGGGGGGGAGTGGTGGTGGCATAAAAAGACTGCACAGGGCCGCACCAGTCTTCCCAGCCACGTCGGGGCGCAGGAGTGGGTGGCGCCCTGCTCAGGCCAGCCCCAGTGTCACAAGTGAGACTCCAGATCTGAAAACAAGCCTTTGGAGAAGGGGCTGGTGGCCTGGCTTGGTTGTAGAGGGCCAGCCCAGCAACCTCAGGCCCTTGGTTCAATTCCCTTCACTAACAGAAGCCCAAGGATGGACCCGACACCGGGGCGCACACCCGTGAAGCAGTACTGAAGGGGTGGAGACTGGGGGTCTGGGACTGCAGGCAGGGCAGTGCACCTGTCAACTTTACGTGCACACTGGATGATGTCTCTCCTACCTACAGTTTGTTGAAGATCAGACTCCAATGTGTAAGAAATAGTGCACACATGAATAACAGGATTGGTAATACTAGTGTGAATCTGGGATCTCAGTGAGGAATTTATATTTTTCCCTCTTTCATGTTCTAGTTGTAGAATGAGTTACAGATCTAATTATAAATAGGTGTTAGTATATTACAAACCAATTTATAGCGTCAACTCTGAAGTAACTATGAAAGTAAGATAACTGTGTCTTTATGTGTTTAGGCTCGATTATTTGATGAACCTCAGCTTGCTAGTCTCTGTCTAGACACGATAGACAAGAGCACGGTGGACGCACTCAGTGCAGAGGGGTTCACTGACATTGATATAGGTGAGTCCCAGGAGCTGAGCTCCCCACTGTAAGTACAGCCTGCTCTCCCTGCCCGCCCGTCGGAGACAAGGCATGTGTGTAAACAGGAGCTTCCAAGGGACTTCTAGAAGTCTACCTCCGCGAGTTCGCGCTTTCATTTACAGTCTATGGAGTGCTCACAGTGTGGGTGTTGTTGTGCTAGTCCCCTGAGGAAATTTCGAGAGGAGGTCAACATTTCCAATTAAAGGAGACCTTTAATTGGAGAATCAAAGGAGAACATACATGAACAGACGATTTACAACGCTGACATTCCCCAGCATCAAACAAGTAGACTGTGACCCCAGTGAGTGAGATGTCAGCTAAATGTGACCTTTCCCTTCTGTAGGCTGGATAGAAAATGACTGCAGCTCCAGAAAGATGTAATTACGTCTAGCTGGGGTAGTGTTAGGAAGTGTTTCTTTTTTTTTCTTTTTGTCAGTTATGGGGCTTGAACTCTGGGCCTGGCGCTGTCCCTCAGCTCTTCATTTCAAGGCCAGCGCTCTACCACTTGAGCCACAGCACCACATCCTTTTTTCTGGTGGTTAATTGGAGATGAAAGTCTCATGGACTTTTCTGCCTGGGCTGGCTTTGAACCGTGGTTCTTAGGTCTTTGCCTTCTGAGTAGCTAGCAGGTGTGAGTCACCCGTGCCTGGATACTGTTAGGAAAATCTTAATGGCGGATACTCTGATCCCAGAGAATGGACAGTGTTTAGGCTGGTGTGTGGCAGTGGTAGAAGGCTTTCCTGTCATGCCTGAGCCTGGGCTTGATTCCCAGCACGAGTGGGGAGAAAAGAACTGGTCAGTATTTGAACAGTGAAGAGGAGAGGACAGTGGCCGCCAGTGGAAGGAGGTGCACAAAGCATGGAGTCGGAGAACACCAGCGGGCCTGGGCAGCTTGTGTGGGAGGACCAGGACATGTCCCGCAGAGGGGGAGGACACCAGTCCAGGCCTCTGGTTCTTTTTTGTTTTTGTTTTTTCTGGTACCAGGGTTTGAACTCAGGGCTTTAAGCTCGTGGCTTTTTTGCTTGTGGCTGGTGTCTGCCACTTGGGCCACGCATTCAATTCTTTCTACCTGTTAACTGGAGATAGAGTCTCAAAGATTTGTCTACCTGGGCAGGCCTGGAGCCTCGGTCCTCAGATCTCTGCCTTTGAGTAGCCAGGATTACAGGCAGGAGCCAACTAAGCCTGTGGTTTTAAATCTTTTTTTGGTCGGTCATGGGGCTTGAACTCTGGGCCTGGGCACCATCCCTGTACTCTTCAGCTCAAGGCAAGCGCTCTATTGCTTGAGCCACAGCGCCACTTCCGGTTTTCGAGTGGTTTATTGGAGATAAAGAGTTTCACGGACTTTTCTGCCCGGGCTGGCTTTGAACCGTGATCCTCAGATCTCAGCCTCCTAAGTAGCTAGGATGACAGGCGTGAGCCAACGTGCCCGGCAGTTTTAAATCTTTATAGTTCTTACCTTGTGGGCCTTAGACTTACGTAACCAGTTGTCGGTTAAGGTCTTTTTTTTTTTTTTGCCAGGGCAGGGTTTGAATCAGGTCCTTGTTATTGCTGAGCAGACACATGCCACCTGTAAGGCCACCCTGAACTCTAAGCAGACACGTGCCACCTGTAAGGCCACCCTGAACTCTAAGCAGACCATGCTACCTGTAAGGCCCACCCTGGACTCTGATGCACCTGCTTGAGTCTTTTTACCATAACTGGGATGACAAGTGTGCTGCTATGCCCAGCTATGGGTTGAGAAAGGATCTTTTGAACTACTCTACCCAAGGTGGTCTTGAACCACTAACCTTCCATTCTTGGCCTTCTAACTAGCTAGAATTACAGGCCTGAGCCATTGGTATCCACTTACTTAACATTTTTATTTGGATCCTGTCCTTCTTACATCCACCTACAGTCCAAATGTCTGGAATTACTGGCCTTCCATGTAGCTGAGATTACAGAGTAGAACTAAAATTAAAATCTAGTTAAGACCCAAGATCATATCATGTCTATAAAGCATAGTCTTCCATGTTTTGGGACCCTTATTAGGCTCTGAGCTGTAATTTCTTACTGTGACACTCATTCTGTAAATGTACTGTGCTTGTGTTCACTTAGGTTATTAGCAAACAGTAGAAACATGTAGATTGAAAGTCGTTTTTTCCCACTGGATGGAAAATGCCCCGTTAGATGGTAGTTTGCTGCTTTGCTCTGGTGCGTCCACAGTGCCCGTGTTTTCCCATCTGAGGGTTCATCTCAGCTGACCTGACCCACCCCTGCCCCCGCTTTCCTGCAGAGGAGTTCTACTCTGCCGTGGGGCTAGCTTCCTGTCCCCTCTGGCCTCCGCTCTGGCCTCCCTGCAGCCTCCTCAGCACCCCACTGTCACCGTTGGACTCCGGCTCTGCAGCTCTCCCCCTCGCCTGCCCACCTCTTTCTGCAGCGCCACTCCTGTGTGCCGCACGGCTTTGGTGTTGGTGTGCACGTCTTCCTCCAGGAGCATTCTGGAAGGCTCTTTTGCTGGGTATCTATTGGGTTCCTCCCCCGCCCACATGTCTTGGCTGCTGGGAGCTTGTGTGTGTGTTCCTGTGTGGCCTGTGCTGTGAGCCCTCGGTCCAGTGTCATGTGCCTCTCCCCTCTGGAAGGTAAGCTCTCAGGACGAGCCTGTCAGCGCACACGCTCGTGCCCAGCCCACTACCAGTGCTTCAGAGTGAACGTTTGCCACCAGCTGAGTGAGTTGTAATCTTTGCACTTGGCCGCTTACTTGATTCCTGTGGAGCCTTTTTGGTGGCTCATTTTATCATATTGCAGAGACTTGAGTTTGCGAAGTATGTGGCATAAGTGTATAAAGGGATTCTATACCTAAGCCTTCAGGTATAGCAAGTGATAAATTTGAATGTTAACCAGTACACTAATTTTTTTTTTTAAGAACATGGTGTGGAGCTTAGTATTTTTAGTATTTTCCAGTATAACACCTATCCTGCTTTTCACTGACAATATGCACACGTCTATGAATGTTGCTTTAAGAGCAAAGTATTCCTAATTTATTTTTATTTTTTCCCTACAGACACACTGTGTGCAGTTCTAGAAAGAGACACACTCAGTATTCGAGAAAGCCGACTTTTTGGAGCTGTTGTGCGCTGGGCAGAAGCAGAATGTCAAAGACAGCAGTTGCCTGTGACTTTCACCAACAAGCAGAAAGTCCTAGGAAAAGCACTGTCCTTGATCCGTTTCCCTCTGATGACGATTGAGGAGTTTGCAGCGGGTGAGCCGCCTCCAGGCTGTGTTACAGGGCTGCGGCCGGGACCGTCTGCAACTGTCTCTCCTGTATATCACCAGACCGAATCCATAACTTAACTTTTTTTTTTTAGTATTTTTATGGCTGGTTTGTGACAGGTGTGACTGTAAATTCTCCCCTTGAAATTACCAAAATTGATCTCATCAAACGTCAGGAGTGTTGCCCCCTCCCCCCCCAAGAACCAATTTCTGGCTTTATTAAAAGCCATTATCAAAATAAGTCTTCAATTTTATTAATTTTCTGCATTTTTTTCCTTTAAATTTGATTCCTTTTGAATATAATTTGTGGGGATTGTTTGATTAGTTCTTGTGACTTTTTGAGACTTAAGAATAACGTTTGTGTGTGTGTGTGTGTGCATGCGTCCATATACACACGTATATTTTTCCTCAGAGCACTTCACACACATGGTTTTTGTGTTTTGTTTTTTCTGTGCTTGGGTTTGAACCTAGGATTTTGCACGTGGCAGGCAGGTGTCCTGACAGCACTTTCGTTGGGTGGTTTTTCTGGCTGGGATTTATTCTGTGTCTGTCCCTCAGGCCCCGCTCAGTCTGGGATCCTGTCGGACCGGGAGGTGGTAACGCTCTTCCTCCACTTCACCGTGAACCCGAAGCCCCGCGTGGGCTACGTGGACCGCCCCCGCTGCTGCCTGCGTGGCAAGGAGTGCTGCGTCAGCAGGTTCCAGCAGGTGGAGAGTCGCTGGGGCTACAGCGGGACCAGCGACCGGATCAGGTGGCCTGCCGGGGGGGGGGGGGGGGGGGGTGGACTTCCATTCCCCCTCGGTACTGGAGTTCAAACTAGAGGCTTTGCACTTGCTAGGCAGGCAGTCTACCTCTTGAGCCATGATCTTGCCTTCTTTGTTTTTTTTGCTTTCGTTATGCTTTAAAGAAAATCTCACATTCTTGCCAGCCTCGCCTCAGACCACAAACCACCATGTCTGGTTTGTTTGTGAGATGGGGTCTCACTGACTGGTTTTGAACCCCTGGGCTCACTTGGCTATCAAGACTTTGGGTCACTGCTGCCGATGGCTTCAGGCATTATCTTTAGAGGCATAAGGCTGGTATTTAATTAATTTAGTTTGACTAAGCCTAATGTGTTGTTTGTGTTTGTTGGAGTAGCTACTGCCCGGTGGGGGCTCAGCACGCTTTGGGGGTCTGGCGCTAGTACTCGCTTGCTCACTCATGGCTGCTGCTTACTACATGAGCTGCACCTTGAGTTAGCAGTTTGTTGGTTAACTGGAGATGGAATCTTGTAGACTCTTAGACTGGCTTTGAGTGGCCAGATCCTCAGATCTCAGCCTCCTGAGTAGCTAGGATGACAAGGATGAGCCACGCCACCCAGGTTCAGTTTACATTTTTGCAAGCTCTGAATGGATTGAACCACCCCCCCAAAATTATGCATATAATCCTGTTGAGGAATTAATCTTCAGATTAAAGGTAAAAATAGAATCATTACCAGTTTCCATAAAACTAGAAATGAAGAGTTTGGTTTGGGTTAAAATGCATTTGTAGACTTTGCATTTGTAATGAGGCCAAAGCTGCACATGTAGGAAAAGATGGTATTTAACTGCTTTTAGTAAATAGAGTAGAAGTAAAGAACTTTTAGCATTCAGTACACGTAGCTAGAAAATGGATATTAAAAGAACTCTTAGGAGAGTAAGGAAGGAAGTGGATGGAGAAATTAGAAAACTGGTGGCTGGGAAGGTGGCTCAGTAGTAGAGTGCTTGCCTTGCATGCATGAGGCTCTGGGTTCAAATCCTCAGCACCACATAAGCAGAAAAAGCCAGAAGTGACGCTCTTTGAGGTGAAGAGCTGAGGGGCAGCCCCTAGGCCGAGTTCAGTGTAGTAATTGTAGCACTGAAGATCCTCAGCCTGGATGGTTAGCTAGCTTTACTCTGTCATTGGTCTTCAGATGCAACTTTAACAAGAAGCTTTTAAAATTCAACTAGTTTTGTAAATGATTCCTAGAAATAAAATTAAAATCCTGGCCATTAAACTCTGACTCTGCTAAAATCATGCATCGAAACTCTCTCCTCTGTGTGGCACAGGAGGAGGCCCGCCCTTTGTCGTGGCTGGACTTTGTCACTAGTATAGTTAGAAAAGCTGTATTTACGTCCAGGTGTATGACCTGGTCCCAGTCCCGGCTCCCACTACCAGTGTTCTTAGTTCGCTCTTATCACAGGGTTGCATTAGGCTAGCCAGGGCATGTAGAAACCACCTTGACCGTTATTTCCCTGCCAGCCAAACATGATAGCCCTCCATAGACAGTCTTCAGTCTTTTTTTTTGGGGGGGGGGGGGGCCCACTGGGTATTGAACCCAGGGCCTTGAGCATATTAAGCAAGCGTTCTACCCCTTGAGCCATGTCCCCTAGTCTTGTTTTTTTTTTTTGGGGGGGGGGAGTCCGGTTGTGGGGCCTGAACTCTGGGCCTGGACACTGTCCCTCAGCTCTTCAGCTCAAGGCTAGCGCTCTACCACTTGAGCCACAGCGCCACTTCCGGTTTTCTTTGAGGACTTCCCTGCCCAGGCTGGCTTTGAACCACGCTCCTCAGATCTCAGCCTCCTGCGAGTAGCTAGGATTACAGGTGTGAGCCACCGGTGCCAGGCATAAGTTTTTGCTTTTGTTTTTTTATAAGCAGACAAGGTGATGTTGCCAAGGGTACCTGATTTGTGGTATTTTTCCTTTTTGAGAGTAAACTAGGATGTTCCAGATAACTTGAAGAATTAGAAACCTCCAGAATATGAATCTGCGTGGGGTTTTTAATGTGTGGCTTCTCTCTCAGGTTCACCGTAAACAGAAGAATCTCCGTGGTCGGGTTTGGCTTGTATGGGTCTATTCATGGTCCCACGGATTACCAAGTGAACATACAGGTACAGACAGATTCAGCAGCAGGGAGATGTCCACATCCCAGTGATTGTCCAAGTAACCAGTTCGCAGCCTTGTACACTTAGAGATTTTAGTTTGGGCCTCAGAAAACTCAGGATGCATGACAGAGCCTTGGCACCTAAGCGCCCTTCCACCCTGGAAACTCTGGGTGCGTGACAGAGCCCTGGCACCTCAGCGCCCTTCCACCCTGGAAACTCTGGGTGCGTGACAGAGCCCTGGCACCCCGGGCCCATCAGCACCTCAGCGCCCTTCCACCCTGGAAACTCTGGGTGCATGACAGAGCCCTGGCACCCCAGCGCCCTTCCACCCTGGAAACTCTGGGTGCGTGACAGAGCCCTGGCACCCCAGCGCCCTTCCACCCTGGAAACTCTGGGTGTGTGACAGAGCCCTGGCACCCCAGCGCCCTTCCACCCTGGAAACTCTGGGTGCGTGACAGAGCCCTGGCACCCCAGCGCCCTTCCACCCTGGAAACTCTGGGTGCGTGACAGAGCCCTGGCACCTCAGCGCCCTTCCACCCTGGAAACTCTGGGTGCGTGACAGAGCCCTGGCACCCCGGGCCCATCAGCACCTCAGCGCCCTTCCGCCTGCTCCTCTCATTGCTTCCCACCACTTGGAGTGTCTGAGCAGACCCCCCAGCCTGGCACTGAGTGTGCACATGCTGGCAGGACCCCTGTTAGGGGTGATGGCTCTGGCGTTTTTCAGAGGTTTCCATCTCAGTACCTTTGCGGGGGATGAGTGAGTGAGCCTCGGTGTCTGTGTGTGCACACATGTGCTTGTGTGTTGCCCTGCGGATCACTCAGGACTTGGGAGGTGTCCAGGCATGCCCTCTGCTCCTCCACTATACTCTCAGGCCTGTGTACCACTGCCTGAGGCTGTGCTGGGTTCACCTGCCAACATGAAGCTGGCACCCACAGCATAACTTTGTGGGGACCAGTTGAGACACAGGGAAGGTGCGTGGCAGTCTGCTGCCACAGTCTTGTTTTATCATTTGAGTCTCACAGTAACCTTCAGACAAGGCAAAGTAAAGATTTGTTTCCCCAGAATTGAAAGATCTGCTTCCCCAGAATTGAAAGATCTGCCACAGCCAGATCCTGTGCCAGATCTTGTGACTGCTCCGGGCCACTTGCATTCATGTTTTAGTTTGGCTTTTACTGATTTGTGTATGTAAATATGCACACTTAACTGGCGCAGCCATGGCTCGGTGTTCACAAATGCACCTGTGTGATGGTGCCTGTGCTCAGAATGGAGATTGCAGCCCTAGGGGGCTTCCTTTTCCTGCAGCAACTGTCCAGCCTGTGGCACTCAGGCTTCACCTGTGAGTTCATCTTACTGTTTGATGTAATGCATGCAGAAAGGCGGGTTTGTCATCGGCCTCTGCATGCTTGGCCTCCCCCCACATGGAAGCCCTCCTGGCACTTGCTAAGTGACATAGGAGCTTTTACTACTGTCCTCAGGACTCCGAGGTCCCTCCCACGGATCAGCAGGTTTCCCTCGGTTGGGCCACTTAGCTTTCTGCACGGTTCACTCGGTGCACCTGCTGGGTTCACTTGGCACCCTACCTGTCTGCTCATACCCGTTCCTGGCACAGAGTGGAACATTCACTGGCATGATGCTGCCTTGAAGATCTTTCCCATCTTAGAAAAACACTCTGACGTTGATGCACAGGGACAGGACACAGCTGGCAAGGAGGAAAGTTTGCTCATTTTCCTCAGACATCTAAATTCCACATACCAAGCTGTTTGTTTTTGACGGGAGCCCTCTCTCCTGAGCCCGGCCCTGTTGACACAGTTCCCATCCTCACTGCGAGGTGGCAGCCATTTTGACGGCTTGCTGAAAGCCATCTTTGGGGATGAGAGATATGTAGAGAAAATAGGCCAGAGAACCTATTAGTCTGTTGAGCAAACTGCTAGTGCTTTGTATTATTTTCTACAAAACTTTGATTAACCTATGTGTAACTTCTCTTAAAAATTACAGATCATTGAATATGAAAAGAAACAAACCCTGGGACAAAATGACACCGGATTTAGTTGTGATGGGACTGCTAACACCTTCAGGGTCATGTTCAAAGAACCTATAGAGATCCTGCCCAACGTGTGCTACACCGCCTGTGCAACACTCAAAGTAAGAGCCACTCGGAATGTTCCAGAAGCTGACAGGCACAGACAGGATAGCTGTTCTTTAAAATGAGGCGCCTATGTATTCTGCTGATTTTAGGTAGCATTGCTGCTCACCACCACTGTGCTAAGAAGAAAGGTCTTCCTCAGAAGTGTGTTGGAAAGTTGGGGTTGATAGAGCTGAGCTGAGGCATGCCACGGCTCTCCAGTGGTGGAGCTCTGCATTCTGGTGTTTTTCTCTTGTAAATAAGCGTGTTAGCTAGATCTTCATTTACAATAAGTACTTAAGAGTTTTATATTCTCAGGAGACTGAGATTGGAGGACTGCAGTTCAAAGCCGGCCCAGGCAGGAACATCTGTGAGACTCTTAACTCCAATTAACCACCCAAAAAACCAGAGTGCTAGAGCACTAGCCTTGAGCAAAAGAGCTCAGGGACAGCGCCCTGGTCCTGAGTTCGAGCACCTCAACTTGACCTAGTGAACATAGTAGACTAGCAGATCAGTTGCTGCAACTCCACATTCTCCTGTATGAAATTGCTAAGGAGCCTTTTTTTTTTTTTTTTTTTTTTGTCGGTCGTGGGGCTTGAACTCTGGGCCTGGGCGCTGTCCCTCAGCTCTTCAGCTCAAGGCGAGCACTCTACCACTTGAGCTACAGTGCCACTTCCGGTTTTCTGGTGGCTTATTGGAGATAGGAGTCTCACGGTCTCTCCTGCCCGGGCTGGCTTTGAACCTCGATCCTCAGATCTCAGCCTCCTGAGTAGCTAGGATTACAGGCGTGAGCCACCAGCGCCCGGCCGCTAAGGAGCCTTTCGTTCTTGTGTAGGGTCCAGACTCTCACTACGGCACAAAAGGATTGAAGAAAGTGGTACACGAGACACCTGCTGCGAACAAGACTGTTTTCTTCTTCTTCAGTTCCCCTGGCAATAACAATGGGACCTCCATCGAAGATGGGCAGATACCAGAAATAATATTTTATACATAGTGCTAAGTGGTACCATACAGGCTCATCTCAAAAGCATAAATAACCCACCACAAAAAAAAAAAAATAGTATGAGTGTCATGACTATTTATAATTGTAGGATAAGAAACATTTTAGTTTCTTAGAGGAAGTAGAAAAATGCTGATTTAAATCTCTGCATGATTTGAAAGCAGAATTTTCATTTTCTTATACCGTAGGGGGAAAGAGAACTGGGGTTAATTGTATAAAGAAAAGCACAGATAGTTCAGCCTTATCTTGAATAATTTCATAGATCAGCTGACTCATGGTCTTTCAATGGTTTTGAAATTGAAAGATATTTGGTTTATATAGCAGAGTTTAAAAAAAATTGTTTTAACTATTTTAAAGGTTAGCAAGATGGGTCAGTATTCCTACAGAATTCTTATTAACTAATTTCGGAAAGTTAAAATGGACTTTATTTTTTGGGTTTTGAAACACCTGGTTGTTAGCATTTGAAACAACCCTAAACATAGGTCTAATAAATGCCCAATGCATTAAAAATGTCCAGTGCGCTTAGAGAAGGATGTTTTATAATAGCCTAGCGATGTATTACATAGTGCAGTTTTGTAGATGTGCGTGAGTTTGTATACTCACAATAATGTGATATAAAAGAGGACCTCAATGTGCAGTCTGAGACTGGATTCTTTCTCACTGAGCTGCCAGAGCCCGGGCCCGGGCGCGGGGGGCGGGGGGGGGGGGGGGGGGGGGGGGGGGCTCGGAGGAGGGCGGGGCCAGCCCGGAGGAGGGCGGGGCCCGGAGGAGGTGCACCTCGCTGCGGCTCGTCACGCGGGGCGGAGTCGGGGCGGGGCCCGGAGGAGGTGCACCTCGCCTCGGCTCGTCACGCGGGGCGGAGTCGGGGGCGGGGCCGGGCGGAGTCGGGGGCGGGGCTCGGAGGAGGCGCATCTCGCCGCGGCTCGTCACGCGGGAAGGAGTCGGGGGCGGGGCGGAGTCGGGGGCGGGGCCGGGCGGGGTCGGGGCCCGGAGGAGGGGCACCTCGCTGCGGCTCGTCACGCGGGAAGGAGTCGGGGGCGGGGCCAGTCGGGGTCGGGGCCGGGGCGGGGCCCGGAGGAGGCGCACCTCGCCGCGGCTCGTCACGCGGGGCGGAGTCGGGGGCGGGGCCGGGCGGGGTCGGGGCCCGGAGGAGGGGCACCTCGCCGCGGCTCGTCACGCGGGGCGGGGTCGGGGTCGGGGCCGGGGCGGGGCCCGGAGGAGGCGCACCTCGCCGCGGCTCGTCACGCGGGGCGGGGTCGGGGGCGGGGCCGGGGCGGGGCCCGGAGGAGGCGCACCTCGCCGCGGCTCGTCACGCGGGGCGGAGTCGGGGCCGGGGCGGGGCCCGGAGGAGGCGCACCTCGCCGCGGCTCGTCACGCGGGGCGGAGTCGGGGCCGGGGGCGGGGCCCGGAGGAGGGGCACCTCGCCGCGGCTCGTCACGCGGGGCGGGCCCGGGCGGAGGCGGCCGCCGGCGTCCCGCGCTTTGCGAGGCCCCGCGGGGCGGGCAAGTCGGGGCTCCGGAAGGGCGGGTAACGTGCGGCAGTCAGGGGCAACGGGAAATGGGGCTTCGGTTTGGCCCGGGTGGACACAGGGCGGGGCGGGGCGTCCACGCGGCGGGCCCCGGCCTCCCTCCCTCCCTCGGCCGCCCCTGCCCGGCCCGGGCCCTGAGGGCTGTCGGTGACTCCTCGGTACCTCGGGGCCGGCGCCGCTCTGTAGCCCCGGGCACCTCGGGCTCACGCTCGGGTCCCGCGATCGGTCCCCGCCGCGGAGCTGGGCGGTGGGGTGACGAGTGGACCGGGGGCGGCCCGGCCAGTCCGGGCAGTGCGCAGGCGCAGAGGCTAGTTACCGCCGCTCGCGCAGGCGCAGAGGCCCTTCCGGGGGCGGGACGCGGCCCGGCGCCGCCCGGCCGGCGATGCTACGGCTGGGCCGCGGGCTGAGGCGTCTCGGAGCGCGAGCGGGCGCGCGGGGCTCCGTTCGGCCTTCCGGCGCCGCGATGCCCAAGAAGGCCGGGGCGGCGGGCAAGGCAAGGCCGGTGGAGAGCCCGGTGGGGGGGAGGGACGGAGGCGCGGCCCCGCTCTGCGTCCGCGCTCCGGACCCGCGCCCGTCCTCGCCGGGAAGCTCCGCGGGGCCGCGCCGGCGGGCTCGGGGTGAGCCCGGAGGCCGTGGAGACGCACTCGGGGGCCGCGGGCGAGCGCCGCCGCGCGTAGGGAGACGTAACGTGTGCGCGGCGTTGTCCTTGCAGGGCAAGAGCCGGGGCGAGGAGCCCGAGCGGCCGCTCCCTCCCGCGGGCCCCGTGGCGGCCGGCCCGGGGGGTGCTGTCACCGTAGCCGTCCGGGCCAAACCCGGCTCCAGACACAACGCCGTCACGGGTACTGTGGGCGCCCGCGGGGCCGGAGGACGGAGGGGGCGGGGCCGGAGGACGGAGGGGGCGGGGCCGGAGGACGGAGGAGGCGGGGCCGGAGGACGGGGGGGCGGGGCCTGGGGGAGGGGGGCGGGGCGGGGCCGGAGGGGGGCGGGGGCGGAGGACGGGGGGCCTGGACGGGGGGCGGGGCCTGGGGGAGGGGGCGGGGGGCCGGAGGACGGATGGGCGGGGCCGGAGGACGGGGGGCGGGGCCTGGGGGGGACGGGGGCGGGGCCTGGGGGGACGGGGGCGGGGCCGGAGGACTGAGGGGGCGGGGACGGAGGACAGCGGGGGCGGGGCCTGGGGGAGGGGGCGGGGCCTGGGGGAGGGGGCGGGGCTGGAGGACTGAGGGTCGGGGTCGGCCGGGCCCCGCCGCCGCCGGGACTGCGAGCCATCACCGCACAGCTCCGCTCACATCGCCGAAGCCAGGCACCTGCTCCCGGCCCGCGCCGCCTTCCCCGAGGTGGAAGCCCGCAGCGCCCGTGTGGGAAGCGCCGCTCCCCCTGCGGAGCCCTGGCCGTTAGACCGAGTGCACTCCCGCTGCCCAGAGTCGAGCCCCAGCCGCGGCCTGTCGGTCCGGGAGACCGTACGGTTGATACTCCCTGCCGCGCGGGCAGCTGGAGCGGCCATTGCTCCATCCGACAGGGACTCGGTGAACCCCGTTGGGCCGGGCCAATGCAAACTGACTGCGAGGAGAACAAGTTCCTGGACGCTAAGACCCCCCGCGTTTCATTCCAGATGTGACGACCGACGCGGTGGGCGTGGCCGTCGCAGCCCCGCCCACCGAGGGAGAGGCCAACGCCGAGCTCTGCCGGTTCCTTTCCAAGGTCCTGGACCTCAGGAAGAGCGATGTGGTTCTGGAGAAGGTGAGCCTCCGTATAAACACCTGGCGCCGTCCTGTCGGTATTGCTATAGTAGTGATTTGTTTCCAATAATTTGGAAAGCCGGTTGGGTGCTTTTGGCTCAGATTCATTCAAACCTCGCTGGATTCTTGAGCTTCCTTCATTTCCGTTTCTCAGTCCTCACCAGACCCCTGGTAGACTTCCCCGGTTGCCACCATGTTCCCCGTGTCCTCCTTTCAAGATTTGTTCCCTGAACCTGTTGTTAGGTGATCCTTGCTCACTTCTTCCTACAAGACATGGCCACACAAATAAAAAAAAAAAAACAGACATTGTTCCTGTTGCTCATCTCCCTGAGCAAGGTCAGCAGGGATTTCCGGTTCACCCATTGGCTTTGCTCGGTAGGAAGACAGCAGGTCCCTAAGTCCTCGATACCACGGGGGCTGACTCCTGGCTACACCACCCTAGGTATACGGAAGTAGACTGCAGGAAGGGGAGCCGGCCACAGCTGTGTTTCTAAAGCGGTTTTCCAGGGCTACATCTTGCAGCTCAATCTGAGTGGCATTTAAGTCCTCGATAGACAAACTACTCCTAAAATTCCATCTGATCAGCTGCTTTGTTTTGTTGGTTGTGGGGCTTGAAGTCAGAGCCTGGGCACTGTTCCTGAATTTTTTTTTTTTTGCTCAAAGCTAGTGCTTACTCTACCACTTGAGCCACAGTTCCACTTCGTTTTTCTTTTTTCTGGTTGGTCGTGAGACTTGAACTCGGGGCCTGGGCGCTGTCCCTCAGCTCTTCAGTTCAAGGCTAGCGCTCTACCACTTGAGCCACAGTGCCACTTCCGGCTTTTCTTTTTGCTTATGTGGTGCTGAGGAATGGAACCCAGGGCCTCAGGCATGCAAGGCAAGCACTCTACCACTGAGCCACCTTCCCAGCCCTGGGCTGCTTTTGAACCACTATCTTCAGATCTCAGCCTCCTGAGTAGCTAGGATGATAAGCATAAGCCACCAGTGCCCAGCAAAAAAATTTTTTTCACTTCCAGTTTTTAGGTGGTTAATTGGAGATAAAAGTATCCTGGCCTTTCCTGCCTGGACTGACTTCAGACCACAAACCTCAGATCTCAGCCTCCCAAGTAGTCAGGATTAGGTTAGAGCCACTGGTGCCTGGCCCTGCTTAGTTTTTTATCTTTTTCAACACATGTAAATACACATCTTTTCATTGGTTGTGAAATCATAGCATTCAGATAGGTGGTTATTTTGGATTTAGGATTTTCCAAAAATATGCAACAATATAAATAATAGCAATTTGGGGCTGGGAAGGTAGCTCAGTGGTAGAGTGCTTGCCTTGCATCCATGAAGCCCTGGGTTTGATTCCTCAGTACCACATAAACAAAAAAATGGAAGTGGCACTGTGGCTCAAGTAGTAGAGCTCTACCTATCCAAAAAAATATAAAATAAAAATAGCAATTTGTTTATATTTAGAATTACTTTTGTGCAAAGCTACTAAATTGTAACTGTTTTGGTATTTTTTTTTTGTCGGTCATGGGGCTTGAACTCTGGGCCTGGGCGCTGTCCCTCAGCTCTTCAGCTCAAGGCAAGCGCTCTACCACTTGAGCTACAGCGCCACTTCCGGTTTTCTGGTGGTTTATTGGAGATAGGAGTCTCACGGTCTCTCCTGCCCGGGCTGGCTTTGAACCGCGATCCTCAGATCTCAGCCTCCTGAGTAGCTAGGATTACAGGCGTGAGCCACCAGCGCCCGGCTGGTTTTCATTCTGAACTTTTAAATGCTGAAGTTTTATTACTATGGAAATGGAGGTATACCGGTAGAAGCAGAAGTGGCAGGACAGTGTAGCTCAGCTCTTAGGAAAGCTTACTTAGGGTGCAGACACAGCTCAAGCAGCAGCAGAGCCCCTACCCTGGAAGCCCAAGGCTCTGAGTTCAAACCCAGAACCTCAGAAGAAAAAGGGAAAACCATCTGTGACACTGCTGTCCTCACCAGCTTGGAACATTTCATGTTTTTCCTTTTGGCTCAGGGTGGTAAATCTCGCGAAAAGGTGGTGAAGCTTTTGGTCTCTACAACACCAGAAGAGATCTTAGAGAAATTGAAAAAGGAAGCTGAAAAAAAATAAAAGCAAGACTGAGAGGTACATCTTCGAAGGATTTTTTTAATTGTTTATGAGGAGGCTCATGACAGGAAAATATATGTAAGTGTACAAACATGAGGGGAATGGCATGTATGTACACACACGTACGTACACACACACATACATACATACATACAATCAATCAATCAATCAGAGATTTAGCACCATACATTGAAAACACTGAAACACCAGACTCCAAACAGCCCGAATGCTGTTCCTCTGGCTTGGTGATACCACAAGGCGGGTCTGAAGGCTCGTCAGGGTCGTCTGACTGCCTTCACAGATTCACTGCAAACTGCTGGAGAAGGTCAAAACAAAACCCAACTAGGAATGTGGTTATTCCTTTACCCTACAAAGTAAAAGCAAGCATTTTCTGTTATTTTCAAGTTTTTATTTCTGTGTTGAAAGCAGAACTTCTGTAGATCAAACATGGAAAACATAGCAAACCCAGAGCACTATGAAGCCGTAGGATTAATGAATCCAAGAAGCCAAGCAGTGTAACTCACAGAGTTTTGGATGGGATTCGTATTCCAGCAACCATAACCTCATTCTAGGAAGATTTTTTTTTTTTTTTTAGTTTTAAATTCCAAAAAATTACCAGCCCAGGCCCTGAAATAGGATGGAAAATAACCAGCATGCAGCACATAGACTCATGCTGGCAACGCAAATGGCTTCTCTGAACTGCGCGTGCACGTCCTCAGTAGTAGCCATAGGGAGGCTGTTGGCCATAGCCATGCTGTCCACACTGCTGGGGGTAGTAAGGCTCCTGTCCGTGCCGAGGGTAATTGTTGCCCCAGGATCGCCCGTGCCACTGATTAGCTCGATTGTCGCTTGGCCATCCCCGTCTGCTGTCCCTACCTCTAAACTGTCTGTTATCCTGCAACCTGCAAGAAAAACACACATGCATACACGTGAGAAACCTAGCTCAGTGCATTTGACTTCTGGATTTTCTAATCTACAAAATGTTACAGCACTAGTTAAGTCAAAGCTTTCCTAAGATTTCAAACGTGGCATTAGATACACTTCACTGGAAAAGGGGAACTACTGAATCCAAGCCACACAACAGTTCTGAAGCAAACAGAAAGCTTCTAAATTATATAGCATCAATATGGTAAGTTATGCTTTTATTTTGAATTATTAAATGTAAGTTCTACCTTTTAAAACTTCTTTGCAAAGTATAGCAAAATCAAAACAGTACCTTTTTTCTTTAGCATCAATTAGGTATACAAGGGGGGATTCGTTTTAATATGTCCATTTATGTATTTAATAATTTTGATTAGAATCAACTCATGTCATTCCCCAATGCCTTCTTTATGGAATCAAGTACACAGACTGTAGTTTTAAAATTATATTTACTTGGGCCAGGCACCAGTGGCTCACGCCTGTAATCCTTGCTCGTCAGGAGGCTGAGGTCTGAGGATAGTTCAAAACCAGTCGGGGCAGGAAAATCTGTGAGACTCTCATCTCCAATTAACCACCAGAAAACCAAAAGTGGCGCTGTGGCTCAAAATGGTAGAGCGCTCTCCTTGAACTAAAGAGGTCCCGGACAGCACCCAGACCCAGAGTTCAAGCCCCACAACTGACCAATAAAACTATACTTGGGTTGGAGGTGTAGCTCAGATATAGTAGAGCACCAAATAAGTGAAAGCAAGTGTCAAACAGCAAGTTCAAGTTCGTTTCAGATCAAAACCCAAAAAAACCACACTATAGAGCTGGGTGTTGGTGACTCAGGCTGATAAACCTGGCTGCTCAAGAGGTAAAGATCTGAAGATCGTGGTTTGAAGCCAGCCTGGGCAAGAAAGTCTGTGAGACTCTTCTCCAATTAAGAACCAAAAAGCCAGAAGTAGAGCTGGGTTCAAGTGGTAGAGTGCTAGCCTCAAGCAAAAAGGGGACAGCATTCAGGCCCTGAGTTCAAGCCTCAGGACCAGCAATAAACACAGGAAAAAAATATTTGCAAAGAAAAACACTAGTCTACAAAAAAAGGGTTAATATTTTTTTCTTTCATGGGCCATTTACTTGTTTTGAAGTTAAGAGTTAAGCTACTCAGCACAGGCGGGTCATGAACTTGTGACTCCAGCCTCAGTCTCCTGAGTGCTAAGATTACAGATGTGTACTATCCTGCCCAGGACAGAGATTAGTGGTGTGGCTCCAGTGGCAGAGTGTTTGCCTAGCATGCAGAAGGCCCTGGGTCCAATCCTCAGTACTTCAACCACGAAGAGTACATACCTCAAGGCAAACACTGATGGTACTCTGTCCCAGGCACTGCTGCCCTCACGGCCGGGCCTTACGTCCTCTCCCAGATAGATCCGTGTTTACTCTGAAGTCACACTTACCGATTGCCTCTGTTTCTGTGGTTCCCACCGGCTCTGCTATTCCACTCCTCAATAATTGGGGGAGATTCCGGAGGGTGTCTCAAGTACTCCTGGTACTCTTTGTCGTCCTTTGTGAATCTACTTGCAAACATCTCTTCGAAATTTGGAACAGCTTTAGAAGTGTCAGTCATCCTGAAATTCTGTATGGTGTTTAAGATGTATCTGTTAGAAAAATTTAGTGTTACCTTATCAGATAATGAAAAACAAGTATGAGCAATTTTTGACAAGATGTCCATAAGAATCCCTTTAAAAAAGTACTGTAGTCAGGCTGGGAAGGTGGCTCAGTGGTAGAGCGCTTGCCTTGCATGCCTGAGGCACTGGGTTCTAATCCTCAGCACCACATAAGCAGAAATAGCTGGAAGTGGCGCTGTGGCGCCAGAGGTAGAGAGGGACAGCGCCCAGGCCCAGAGTTCAGGCCCCACGACCCGCAAAAAAAAAAAAAAAAAAAAAAGTACTGTAGTGGGGCGCCAGTGGCTCACGCCTGTCATCCTAGCTACTCAGGAGGCTGAGATCTGAGGGTCATCTCCAATTAACCACTTAGAAAAAGCCGGAAGCAGCGCTAGGTTTGAAACTGGCCCGGGCGATAAAGCCATTGAGATTCTCCAGTTAACTACCAAAAAAGCCGAAGCGGAGCTTGGCCCAAGGAGTAGAGTTCGTGCCCCAGGTCCGGCCAAAAAACCCTGAAGATGTTTAGACATGCACTAAACTTCCAAAGCTGCTCTATTCCAGACCCGGTGCTCATCAGGAACCTAAGATACAGCGAAAAGCAGCGTTGCGCGGCGCGGCCGGGATCCGAGTCAGACTCCGCCGCACGTGCCTGAGGGGGGCGGGGCGGGGGCCTGGGGAGAGATGCGGGTGTGAACGGTGCTTTTTCTGATGGGCGGCGGAGCTGCGTGCGCAGCGGGGAGGTGGAGAGCCGGTGGAGGGCGGGCGGGTCGTGGGAGCCCAATCAAGCCGGCAAGGCGGCCCCAAGGCCGCTGGCAGCTCCAGACTGCAGGTTTAAGGCCAAGGCTCCTAGTAAGGTTCGTGACGGGAGTACCTCCGCGGGGACCCTCCCCCCCGCGGGGACCCTCCTCGCGGGGAGACCCACCCCCGCGGTGACCCTCCCCCCGCGGTGACCCTCCCCCCCGCGGGGACCCTCCCCGCGGGGAGACCCACCCCCGCGGTGACCCTCCCCCCGCGGTGACCCTCCTCGCGGGGAGACCCTCCCCCCCGCGGGGACCCTCCTCGCGGGGTGACCCTCCCCCCCGCGGTGACCCTCCTCGCGGGGAGACCCTCCCCCCCGCGGGGACCCTCCTCGCGGGGTGACCCTCCCCCCCCGCGGGGACCCTCCTCGCGGGGTGACCCCCCCCGCGGGGACCCTCCTCGCGGGGAGACCCTCCCCCCGCGGGGACCCTCCTCGCGGGGTGACCCCCCCCGCGGGGACCCTCCTCGCGGGGTGACCCTCCTCGCGGGGTGACCCCCCCCGCGGGGACCCTCCTCGCGGGGTGACCCTCCTCGCGGGGAGACCCTCCCCCCCGCGGGGACCCTCCTCGCGGGGAGACCCTCCCCCCCGCGGGGACCCTCCTCGCGGGGTGACCCCCCCCGCGGTGACCTTCCTCGCGGGGAGACCCTCCCCCCCCCGCGGGGACCCTCCCCGCGGTGACCCTCCTCGCGGGGAGACCCTCCCCCCCAGCCCTCCTCGACGCGTGAACGCGACGTGGCTCCGCGGGCGCTCCACCAGAGCCGCAGCTCCGGCCGGGCCGTCTGCGAACTCGGATCTCGGCCCCGGAGCCGCGGGGGGGAGGCGGGCGCCGGGCCCCCGACCCCCGACCCCCCGTACTCACCCCACAGGCCGGGCCCGGGCTCGGCCGAACCTCCCAGCGACGCGCGGACGCAGCGGCCTCCGCCCCGCCCCTCTCCACGGCGACCGGTGCCTCCCGCCGGCTGACTTCCGCTTCCGGCCGCTGCCCCCCCCCCCCCTCCGAGTCTCGCGATACCCAGTTTGCCGCGGATTTTGTTCTCGTTCGGCAGGCCGGCCTCTGAGCGGCGGCGCGAGGTGCCGGGAGCCGCGGTCCCCGAGGGGAAGGCGCGCGGGGCCGCCCGCCCGGCCCTCCCGCGCCCCCTCACCCCGCGCCCCCTCACCCCGCCCGCCCGGCCCTCCCGCGCCCCCTCACCCCGCGCCCCCTCACCCCGCCCGCCCGGCCCTCCCGCGCCCCCTCACCCCGCCCGCCCGGCCCTCCCGCGCCCCCTCACCCCGCCCGCCCGGCCCTCCCGCGCCCCCTCACCCCGCCCGCCCGGCCCTCCCGCGCCCCCTCACCCCGCCCGCCCGGCCCTCCCGCGCCCCCTCACCCCGCCCGCCCGGCCCTCCCGCGCCCCCTCACCCCGCCCGCCCGGCCCTCCCGCGCCCCCTCACCCCGCCCGCCCGGCCCGCCCGGCCCTCCCGCGCCCCCTCACCCCGCGCCCCCTCACCCCGCCCGCCCGGCCCTCCCGCGCCCCCTCACCCCGCCCGCCCGGCCCTCCCGCGCCCCCTCACCCCGCGCCCCCTCACCCCGCCCGCCCGGCCCTCCCGCGCCCCCTCACCCCGCCCGCCCGGCCCGCCCGCGCCCCCTCACCCCGCGCCCCCTCACCCCGCCCGCCCGGCCCGCCCGCGCCCCCTCACCCCGCCCGCCCGGCCCGCCCGCGCCCCCTCACCCCGCGCCCCCTCACCCCGCCCGCCCGGCCCGCCCGCGCCCCCTCACCCCGCCCGCCCGGCCCGCCCGCGCCCCCTCACCCCGCCCGCCCGGCCCGCCCGCGCCCCCTCACCCCGCCCGCCCGGCCCTCCCGCGCCCCCTCACCCCGCCCGCCCGGCCCTCCCGCGCTCCCTCACGGGCCTTCCCTCCCTCCCACGCCCCGCCCGGGCCTTCCCGCCCTCGCCCGCTCAGGCCTTCCCGCGCCTACCCAGGTCTTCTTGCCCACACCAGCCTCGGGTTCCCGCGCCTGCCCAGGCCTTCTTGCCCACGCCCCGCCCGGGCCTTCCCGCCCTCGCCCGCGGGGCCTTCCCGCGCCTGCCCAGGCCTTCTTGCCCACACTGGCCTCGGCCTTCCCGCCCTCGCCCGCGGGGCCTTCCCGTCCTGCCCGCCCTCGCGTGCCCGCCCCGCCCCTCCTGCCTATGCCTGCTTAGGCCTTCCCACGCCCCCTGGCCCTTCCCGCCTGGCCCTTCCCGCCAGCCCGGCTCTTCCTGCCCGCACCCGCTGGGCCTTCCCGCCCGTGTCCGACCTTTCCCATACCTGTCCGCCTCCAGTTCTTGCTTCCATCCGTCGCCAACTTGTGTTGAATCTGACGACCGTGCTCTCCCCACACCGTAGCCCCCACCTGGCACCCAAGTCGCCCCGTTCCCTGCATGGTGCAGGTCAAAGGTCAGTTCTTTCTCAGCCTCCTCTGTCTGTGCAAAAGCAGATTACACATACAGGACCTGATCCACTCGTTCCTCATCTAGATTGTTGGTGTACCTTTTTTTTTGGGGGGGGGGGGGGTCTGGTCGCGGGGCCTGAACTCTGGGCCTGGGCGCTGTCCCTCAGCTCTTCAGCTCAAGGCTAGCGCTCTACCATGTGAGCCACAGTGCCACTTCCAGCTTTTTCTGCTTATGTGATGCTGAGGAATCGAATCCAGGGCCTCATGCATGCGAGGCAAGCGCTCTACCACTGAGCCAACTTCCCAGCGCCATGGTGTACCTTTTTTTAAAAAAGAATTTTATTGCCAAGGTGATATACAGAGTGGTTATAGTTACGTAAGTACGTTTCTTGTCAAACTTTTTAACCCCTCCCCCATTTTTCTCCCTGAAAGATTAAATGAAAGATTATTTGACATTGCCAGAGAACCACGCAGACATCCAGGTACAGGGAACAAAGATTATTGCCAGGAAAGGAGGCCTGCAAGACTCCTCACAAGGGAGAAGTGAGAAGAAGCACCGGCTATTGTCTGAGGTGACCTATATTACCTAGGGAATTTAGAAAGGGCTAGGGGAGGCAGAGACCCTGGTGTGGACGAGTGGGCCAGGGGCTTCATCATAGAAGGCTAGGATATATGGCTGCTGCCCAAGTAGTAGATAAGGGGCCCTGCAACTGCCCAGACCTGAAGGTCACTCTAAGGGGCTCTTGCTGCCTTGTATGGTGGTAGCTGCCCCAGAGAAGTGCCATCCCAAGGTAAAGGCTGGTTATTTACTGCCTTTACTACATGGGCCTAGTGTTCTAGGAAGGGAGCATGCTAAACTGTGAAGGGAAGGAGTGGACTAAGCTATAGAAAGGACTTAATTTGGCGAACACTCCCACTTTCCCTCTCAGCCCCCCCAAGTTGTACAGATCCTTTCCAACTTACTGTCTCGTGAGTATCACTGTTGCATTGGTTTCCCCTTCCTCTCACCATGGTGTTTCTTTCTGCTTGGAGTTAAACACACAGACCATGCACATGGGCACACATCTCTAGATACTGAAATTGTATCCCTTCCTTAGAATTGTAGCAAGTGACATCTCCATCTGGAACTTCTTTTCTCTCTCTCTTTTTTTTTTTTTGTGCTGGTAGTGGAGCTTGAACTTGGTCTGAGCGCTGTCCTTAAGCTCTTTTGCTCAAGGCTAGCGCCCTACCACTTTGAGCCACAGCTTACTTCTGGCTCCTGGTAGTTAATTGAAGATAAGAGTCCCCTGGGTTTTCCTAAGGCCTGAGCTGTATTTAAACTGTGATGCTTAGATCTCAGCCACCTGAACAGCTTGAATTACAGGCATGAGCCCCTGGCTCTGGGCTTAGAACTAATATTTACTCTTACTGAATATCTGCAGTACTTTCTAATGACTTAGATACAAGTCTTTCTTTTAAACAGTAAACCGACCTTTATGTAATATTTCCTGCATGGCACCACATATGTATGTATGTATATATATATATATATATATATATATATATATATATGGTATATAATATATATATCTTTTTTTTTTGTCAGTCAGGGGCTTGAACTCTGGGCTTGGGCGCTGTCCCTGCCCTCTTCAGCTCAAGGCAAGTGCTCTACCCCTTGAGCATCACCTCCAGTTTTCTAGTGATTTATTTGAGATAAGAGTCTCAAGGACTTTACTGCCTGGGCTGGCTTTGAACTGCAATCCTCAGATCTCAGCTTCCTGAGTAGCAAGGATTACAGGCTTGAGCCACCGACGCCAGGCTGAGGCACCACGTATAATACTGTTCTTCAGATAAAGTAGAAGTAGAAAGTGTGTGACTACTAATGGTACAAGCCATTTTAGGAACAGTAGCTGCAACAGTGTACAGGATGGTATTGATGGGAAGACAGGACAGTTTTAGTGTCTAGTAGTAATTTACCCTATCTCATGACCAACTTAGTAGCTGACTGGATGATAGGAGAAAAATATAGGCAGGAACCAGGGTAGATTCTAATTCATGAGCCTGGGAATTTGGCCTGAAAAGTATCAATAGTGTAAATTTTATAGCAGAAATGAACTCATAGCACAAGCAGGTTTGCAAAATTCAAGATGATAGACCACCTAGAATTTGCCCAGGGTTGTTAGAAATACAGGACTAAAGCTCAGGAACAACTGTACCAAATACATGCATGATTCACCATGAAGAACCGCAGTTGAAGTCACTGGTGTGTATGATGGAAAGATTAGGGAAGAACGTATTTATAGAGAAGAGCAGAAGGCCAAGAGTTAAACAAGAATTGCCCATATATAGGAAGCAAAAATATAGGAGAGGGCTGGGAAGGTGGCTCAGTGGTAGAGCGCTTGCCCTGCATGCCTGAGGCCCTGGGTTCGATTCCTCAGCACCACATAAGCAAAAAGAAAAAAAGCCGGAAGTGGCGCTGTGGCTCAGGTGGTAGAACGCTAGCCTTGAGCTGAAGAGCTGAGGGACAGCGCCCAGGCCCAGAGTTCAGGCCCCACGACCAGACGCCCCCCCCCCCCAAAAAAAAAAAAAAAATATATATATATATATATATATATATATATATATTGGAGAAGGACATTGTAACAGGAAAAAAGGAAGATGCTTTACAATCTAGTATTAGGAGTTGGGATTATTTGGAAAGATGGGAGTTGTAGACCAGTTTTTTTTTTTTTTCATAGAAAAAGTACAATTTTAACACCAAGCATTTGACATGGAAACACCTCAGAAAGCACATAGCTTGTTGGTTTCTCCAATTTGCCTTATCTAAAAATTTGCCTTATCTAAAAATCATTCTAATGGAACATCCTTCTAACAACCAAATATTTTTCTGTATGAATACCTTTCACTTTAAAAGGCAAATATCCTTATTTATTGACACTATCTTACTTAGTTTTCACATAAAATAAGAAGGAATTGAAGTACTGCTTTTACTTATAGCAAACCCAAGCACATTGTTCCTAGTCTTCCCACCTTCCAACCCAATGAGGTGTGAGTGTTCTGTCAGCTTTAATTACTACTCCAGGGAAATTAATCAAAACTAGAAAATAGCTTTAATTAGGTTTCTTGGATTATATTGGTTACGTAGCTTTTAAATTTTATAAAAACTAAAGGTCTGGCACCTGTGGTTTACATTTATAATCTTAACTACCCAGGAGGCTAAGATCTCAGGATAACAGCGTGAAGCCAGCTCAGGAAAACCAATCTGAGAGACTCATTTCCAATTAACTGGCAAAAGCTAGAACTAGAAGTGTGGTTCAAATGGTAGATTTTTACCAGCCATGGGTGGAAAACCTGACTGGTGTTTGAGGACCTGAGTTCAAGCCCAGTACCAGAAAACAAAACAAGCAAACAAAAAACAACAGTGAGGTAGATTAATAAATACCCAGTTTATTAACAAGTTTATAATAATTATAATTTATAATAAAAGATAAACGAGTTCTTAGATTCAATTTTATATTTAAACTCAATAATCCTTTAATTTTGATAACAGATTCAAC